TGCATACAATATGTATAATAGTAATTCGATTTTTTTTGCTGCGGCACTGACACAAGGTCTATGCACTCACGCTTTAAATACATTCAGGAATTTGAACTCTATACGTTATAGAAAGATTTTTTCATTCTACTTGGCTCAGTATAACTTTTCACTCAACTTTTGCAATAGTTCCAATATACATAGCAATATTACCCACCTCTAATACAACCAGTAAAGTATTCAAAACCTTTAAGAAATAGTAATGTGATGGAGAGCCTAGAGGCCCAAAAAAAATAATTCTACAGTGGTATGAAAAGGTTTGGACACCCCTAACTATTTTATGATTTTCCTTTATAAATCATTGGTTGTTTGGATATAAAATATACGTCAAACATTTAATATAGAATAACAAACACTGACATGAAAGAAAGTTTGTATCATTTAGAGAAAGCGTGCAAGAATTATTGAATCAATGCATGAATTTTGGCAGCCACTGTACTTATTTGAACGATACATCACATTTACAATCTGGCCCACCCTGAAAATAGGACCCTGATGGAAAGGATGACAGCACCGTTGGCGTCACCTTATGAGCACCACCACCGTCACCTCTAACTCTGGACATAAATAAAGATGAGTCCACGCTTAGCCACACACGCACCGACGTCACACTTCGCCCAACGAGGACCGGGCACTTTGTTCTGTCACGCACACGCATTGGGGACGCGCAGCAGCAGCAGTAGTGGAACAGCGGAGCGCTCTGTGTGGAGGTTCAGTCAGATGCGCCTCTTGGGACAGACGCGCGCACAGGAGGAGGAGGAGAGGAGGAGGAGGAGGAGGAGGAGTTGGACAGATGCGATTCATTCATCATTTATCTCATCGCTGCTGCCACATTTCTCTCTCCCCGCTTCTCTCTATATTCCCCTCAGTGCCGTGGTCCCGTGGGTGCTCCCTTCTCTCCCGCACATCATCACGCACCCAAGCACCCCAAGCACCTATACTGACACTTACAATGATGATGAATTGTATTTAACAGAAAGGAAGCAGATTCGCGCACGTTATACAATCTTTGTGAGACTTACAAAAGTGGAGATGGTAAAAACTTGGAATAGTGTCCCCCCCCCCCCAAAAAAAATCTGCCAGGCTCAACACTGGAGCTTTTTTATGGAAATGCATAATATTTTGTCTTGGATAAAACAAACCTGCATACTATACATACTGCACTTATTATCCAACTTTACTCATTCAAATACATTTTTAAACAAATGACTTTGCATTAGCGAGAACTTATACTTGCTAATGCAAATTTTCAGCATAGTTGCAAGAGTTTGCAAGTCAAGGCAGAGCGATTTCTTTTTTTTACACTATCCAGAGACGTAGACAAAGCAGCAGTTGTTTGATTGTTTATCCCCCTAGGGCAATCGCGTTGTCACTTTTGGGAAAACAATAATCTCACATGGCAGCGCTATAGAACTTGATTAATCACAGCTATGGGCAAATCTTTGGTTACAACAGTTTTACGCACGCTACAGCAGAACGCGGTAACACACTCTGCACCAACAAGACTGAAGCACAATACAAAAAAAGAACAAAATGAGACATAGAAAGTCGAAATAATAATCCACTTACTCAGAAGAAGTGCAACAGGCAAGCACAAGAGGCAGGCGGAGTTGAGCAGAGATGCCATGCTGGTTCGGGGCACGCGTTCAGAGCAAAAGTCCCACGCTGCTGTACTCCTCTGCGTGAGTCCTGTGCGTGAGTGAGTGGGACCTGCGCGCGCGCCGCTGAATGGAAGGGGCGCGTCCCCCAGCATCAGCAGCAGCATCAACAGCAGCATCAGCATCAGCATCAGCATCAGCATCAGCATCAGCATCAGCAGCAGCAGCAGCAGCAGCAGCAGCAGCAGCAGCAGCAGCAGCAGCAGCAGCAGCAGCATCAGCAGTAGCAGTAGTAGCAGCAGCAGCACACGCCACCAAAGGAGGAGATCAAAACAAGAGCTGGAATTCTTGCTTCTTTACGATGCTAAAGTTGAATATTTTAGACTTGCTTCCTGATTACACTAAAAGTAGATATTTTTATAGTAGAGTTATTGTTCATTTATTTCTTGCTGTGGGCTCCTTTTTCCCATACTGTTCTGTAACTGGTGATGCAACACTGAAATTTCCCCACTGTTGGACGAATGAAGGAGCGCTTTGGACCTGAAAGATTAAAATATTATGCAACAGTTGGACAAGTGGACCAATACAAACAATAGCCTATTTGGACTGATCGAGTTGTATAAATGATGTAACATGTGATCTGTGTTTGTTTTACTTAAAATTGGGATAATAGATGTAAGATGATTCCATGTTTCCCAATTAGGGGTGTAGTGTTATAACTGGTACTTTAAAACTTGCAAACATTGGTTTATGCTGGTCTTGGTATTTCACACATTTGTTTAAAGAAATTATCCGAAGAAAAAAAAATATACACACAACATTGATTACTTGATTATAAACATTGACCACAGAAAACCATACTAGTACTTGGTCCGTTTGCAATAAAGTCATTCTCACTTTTGGGTTAGTTTTGGCTGAGTCCACGCATGGTACTCATTTTGTGCTCAAGTTATAGTAACAATTGATCAAAATACCTTCATATTGTAAGACCCTGCAACAGGAAAGCCTAAAAACAGTTGTGGCCCCGAGTTTGATCCCTTGGCCCCTGTATGTGAAATATTTGTTTTCTCCCTAAACAGCAGGCCCCTGACATAGGCGAACACAGGGAACAGAGGTTGGGAACCACTGGTCAAACATGGTGGTTCACTGAGATCTCCTACCCCACACACTGAGTCTCTTTTGTTTTCCCGAGGCGTCGCACTTTTGAGATTTGATTCAAAAACATAAAAGCTGATTAGGGGCCACATCTGGTATCAGACTTAATGTTGTATCAAAGTGACATCTTAGTTTTTTCATGGAAAGACTGTTTTAACTGATCTACTTTCAGGGGTTTCTGGGTGAGGGGGGTTTCGGTTAATAAGCATTTCTATTCCTCTAACCCCTTCCTCAACCCCTGTACGTGCTTTTGTTTTCTTGTTTCCTGTGAAAATGATATGTGCAGGCTCATTCATTCACCATGTAGATATTTGAAGAGTTTTGGACCAAAAGTCAAAAAGGCTTATATCTCCTTTATTTTATAAGAGTACTTTGAAGATTAAAGAATGTATTACATCATGCTAGCCCATATAAACCTGTTAGTAAGTTAATACTTTAAATTCAAGTAGTCCCTGCCGTGCCCTCGCATTAGGATACAAACCCACACAAATACTTTTAGCCCTTGTGCTATCCTCAGGTTGACCCACCAGTGATGGTGGGTCAACCTGAGGGTAGCACAAGGGCTAAGAAAAAAGATAACTTTAAATATCTGATTTATATAAAACAGGTTTGGGAACATATGGAATGCTTCAACTAAGCCATTTTAATAAAAATAATGTAGAATATTACATGTTTGAGCCAAAGAAAATAATTCTGATAGCGATATAAAACGTCTACAGGAGTGTTGCTCATACCACAGTTTGAGAAACATTTGAGATTAAGAGATCAATGAATACAATAAAAATAGAAAAGAATGAACGCCTTTTTATTAAAAAATGTTTAGGGTAAAACTGTAAAAGTTACAACAGAACAAGATGTTTATATGAACAGAAAGGACGCAGCCTTAGTCGTATTTGTTGCATGTGTTTTGAGACACTCCAAAGCCCAGAAGAAAAACAGCAGTAGTCTACTATAACAAGTCCTCTTCAGTGCTGCAACTTGGTTCAAACCGTTTATATTTTAAATAACAAAACGTAAAGGAATCTTAATCTAGACAAATGAGACTGTCCGATAAGGCACTTGCTAGACAAATCCAATGGAACTGACTCAAACTTGATCAGGCATCAGCACAAATAGCTGGATCCCCAATACTTAAACTATGATCTCTGCACATGAGCTGTACATATATTATCTTACACAATAACAAATAAAACGCTTTTTCAACCTAAAGAACTGCTTAGAAATTAGAGTCTGTAGAAGCTTCAAGACCAGGAATGATTTCTGTATTACAAAAAGAAGAGCAAAGCAGGAAGGATTGCTGCACTACAACCAAGTGCTGCCTCCTAGAGACTATGACGCATAACTGCACATTTAATTCACTACCATATTCTGAAAGATCCTGATAAAATGAATACTATCTTCATAATAACAGTAAGAAGAGTCGGTTTTAGTTAGACACCTCTTAAAAGAATACACATCAAATACTAATTGCGGATGAAAGAGCAACTGAAGAAAGCGCAGCATAATCTGGTTGATTCACTGGACAGAACTGTACATGGGACGACTGACACGCTGGATCCAAGATTCTCAAATAGTAAAAAAGGACGTATCAGTTGCAGAGAGAGCCTTGATATAATGTGGAGGGCTTCATAATGGGCTTCTGGACAGCATTCAGCTCCGTTTGCAAACATCTGGACATTCGAATCACTTCCGAAGAAAACACAAGGTGCTGTTTTTTCGAGCCCATTAGGAAATAACACCAAGACATACTTCTGGTTGCTTGGTTACAGTTGAACAAGTTCCATGTTTGTTGTGTATGGGGAAAAAATGTGACATGCCAAAATTCCAGATGGTATGAACGCAAACTATCGCAGGCACAACAGCATTGTAGGACAGGCCCTGCAGCAGTCCCAGCCTAGAACAAAACCTGGATTCTTTGCCAAAGTTGACTTGTTTGGGCTGACATTCATATTGTCTAGTAACTGCTGACGTGTGCTTCAACAAAATCAGCCTTTACGATGAAAGAAAAAACGTTGCCTCCAAGGGCTACTGCAAAGACAAATCAGCATGATGAAAATGTAACCAAAAAATCCGTCTGGGAAGGAATCTTTTCAATCCCACGCTGTCCTTTGTGCCGCATACTCAACTATTTCCTTTACCGCAACACAAAGAAGCGTGTGCAACCAGGGAGCTTGGAGAGTTCCCAGCGCGTGTGTGAGTGTGTGCGAACTAGTGGTTGACCAGGCCCTGCAGCATCATCATGAGGCGGCGCGCCCTCTTGCTCAGCGCACTGTGGGCGTCCTGCTGCAGGTACGTGTAGAGCTTGGGCCGCACCTGGGCCAGAACGGCGGTCATGTGATCGCGCATCATGGGGTCGCTGTGGTCCAGATTCATCACTGCGTCCTCCAGGTAACTGCAAACATAGAAAGGGAGGATTTAGAGTCATAAATGAGACGGAAGATTTTTGTCTGATAGATATAATCCATGTCCCCAGTGGATAATCATTTTAACTTAATTTGAAATGGTACATAAAAAACTAATTATATAATTTTAAAATGGCATCTAGGGAGTACCATCTCTTGTTTACCTTTTTATTTTGTTCAGTTTTATTTCAAACCTCCCTTTCTTTTTTCTTAGTGTTATGCCGGTCCCCTGCAGTCGTTCACATGAATCAATGATAATGGAAATGATTATGGCATGGCTTGAAGCTTGTTAAAGCTGACCACATCACAGGAGTATAGAGGTTACGGATGGGACAAAGGGACAAATGCAGACCAAGTTCAAGCGGAGTACTTGGGTACACAACCATTAGTCATGAGACGGCAGGTGGTCCTGAGGATGACAAAAGATACCGACGTACGGAACATCTTTTCTGAGCTGCAAAATGAGAAGCCCCTGAACACTTTGAAAGTCACGCACTCTCATTTATTGTGCTGCGGAAGCTTCACAGGAACAACATGCATTCTAGATTGTGTCCCTGGCTGTGACTGCAGGGGACAAAGACCGAGCCCAGTTTGAATGTCAAGCGCCGTCCTTGATCACACTGCTGGCTGCTGGCCCCGGTGTGACTCTAAACCTTGTGTTGTCACCGCCACATCATGGCACGAAATTGAGTTTTACCATCGTCACCTGCGGCCTTCCATCACACTCTTTCCTCGAACAGCAAATTTAACTCGATTGATACTGCCACAGATCTGGAGAGTGGCAGTGTGCTCCCTTAATCCCCAGAGCTGTGATCATAAACAGAAACCACTAATCACACTGCATGTATAAAGAGGAAAAAAACGTGCAATTTGAAAAGGTTTTGCTAAAATTGCTGCTGAAGATAAAAATTCTGCAGCATTTAAGAAACGCTTCTACTTCTACGTTGCTTCTTGGGCTACAGCTGGACACCATATTTTCATGCATAAAATAACACGATCAAATAACTAGTACCACCGCTTTTAAGGAAGTAAGGGCTGGGGTAAATCTTATAGGAGTGTACAGCGTCAGACTGATCCATGGCCGTATGTCCGTGCAGATGGTACGGAGACTCTGGAGGGACGCACCAGCACTGACGGCACATCCAGGCCTGAGCACAGCTGTAAAGGGACCAGCTACCGCTAAAAAGCTGATCACAGGGAAAAGCCTGGTACACCAAGACAGGACTGCAGAGACTGAACAGATTGAGAATGTAAGTCACATTTCTGGCACTGGGACACTTTTCAGCCTGAATATTTGTTCCAATGAGAAAGTAAACAAACACAACACAATCCTGAACAAGAATCTTGACTGAAAACAAAAGATTTCTCCTTCATGTTCGGCCAACTCTGTGGGAGCTGAGTAAACAGTAAATGACAAGCATGCCATAAAATATTTAGAACAAACCTCAATTCAAGATTCTACTCATAGTCACACATGTATACTGTTCCACAATAGTTCATCACTGTAAGCAGCCATGTTTTTGATTCAGACCGACCATGCCAGTCCCTAATTGAACATTCCACCTGTCAATCACACTCATCTTCATCTGTGGGAAATGAAACCTATGTTAAGACCACACTGCTGATGAGTGAAGTCAATGAGGCACAAAATTCCACAAGGACTCGACAGAAAACGAGAGGTCACAGACACAAGGACAAAGAGTGCACATGAATGTCTAAAAACCAGAAGGCTCCCTGGACACCAGGGGAATGGGTCTGCTACTTTAGAGAACAGAAGAAAAAAAAAACATTTCAAAAGAGGCTGGCTACATCAAGCTCCTGCAGAACTATTTGAATTAAGGCAGTTATTTTCATTCGAGAAGCATACAGATGCAGGAAACTACAAAAGAAAATCTTCACTAAAGACATTTAAATTTGAATTATTATATAATTTCACTTACTGATTGTAAATTATGACCATCACCAGAGAAACAAAACAAACTGTACCAAAACTGCTCCAATGTACAGAGAATATACGCTGATAAACTGACAAAATATTTGAAATTTGCACATAAAACAATGTTGTACAGTTTAACTAATCTGAATATTGGAGAAAATAAACTTTGACAAATTGATTACACCATGAGACAGATCTTTTTGCAGACGAGTGTTATTCCTCACCTGATTTTGAGCTCTGAGCGGGTGGAGAGGTTGGAGGAGAGCTGTTGTATGAGTGACAGCAGCACTGGTTGGCTGAGCGGACAGGGGTGCTGTCCAAACACCTGCTGGGAGTCTATGGTCTCACACACGTACAACACAAGGTTCAAGTCGGTTGCAGAGAGGGCCTACGATGGAATCAACAAAAACAATCAATGCAAATCCACCCTTCATTTCCTGTCCCCTAATAAACCAAAGGGTTGACTTGTTATCAAATATAAACACTACGTAGTTATGCCTGTACAGACAGTCACACTTTGTCACACCTTGTCACTTTATAATCTTATAACACTGGACACTTTAATTTGATAACCTGCACTGACACGTCTTCTTTTTTGTTGACCATTTTATTTTGTGATATTGCACCATATGCCAAAACAAATTGCTAGTAAATGAGTTTCTGCACACTGACAATATAAGAATTCTTCTGATTGTGATTAAAGCTGCTGGCTGTCAAAGTACCTGCTGGAAGGCTTGGTTGAGCTGGCCCTGCTGCAGGAGCTGGAGGATGTTGGCCTGCTGGGCCTGGTAGTCCAGGTGGGCTGTGGGGACAGGTGTGCTGGCTGCTGACCTCATCGCCTGCATGATGCTGGAGGTGACCACTGCCTGCTGCTCCTTCATTGCCAAACTCACCCCTCCTTTCACAATCCTCTGCACGTCGTTAAGAATAGACTCCTGCAAACTGAAACAGAGTAGTTGTATGGCATTGTCAAATAGTGGAATGATATTTTGGTATTATACATCCAGGATTTTTTTACACTATGGTACTTAGAACTGCTCAATTGAAAAAAAAATTATTTTAGTTATCTTAGTTATATTTGCCCAAATATGGAAAAATTAATATTGTGGCTAGCAGTGGCCAGAAGAAACGTTATACCAAATTGGATTTTAACATTTTACTTTTGTTTTTAAAAAAAGACATAGAATAAATTAAATGCATTTCCCTGACCTAGCTGGATCCGTAAACCAACTATGTCTTGACGTACTCTGATTGGCCTCCAAATCGAGGCAAACATTTTGGACAAAGTTCCCAAGTTGTTGTGCAGCCACACTTTTCAAAAATATGCAAATGTGTAATTAGGGCTGGGCGGTATAAACGGTATAAGCGGTATGCGGTATAAATTTGGCCCACGGTAGAGATTTTTGTTATACCGGCATATTGCGATAGGTCATTATGTCATCAAATTGCGCAGGCTCTGACGCCAGCAGAAAGGACCAAAACAAACCGGCATTCAGCAGCATTAGCCTAGCACATTAGCCTAGCAGACACCACTGGAAACAACAGCACGGCTTTCACACCGTGTTTCTGTCTCTGTATTGGTCACAGCGGCCCCAGCAGAGGTAAATACACACACAGCAATCACAGTTTACATGTCTACCTTTCGGCCAATGAGTGTCAAAGGGGCGTAGGCTCGAAGCGCCATCGTGAGCCGAAATAGATCCATGCTTGTGCCGTGTCCGCATAATCTCAGAAGTTTTGTAAAGTTAGCGTCCGATTCAGACTTCCGCGGTCAATAGATCACGAAAGCTACTTTGTTAAACAAAATTAATTGTGCCAAAATGAGCATTTACATCAATTGTTCAAATCAAATGCGCTGTTTTAATGCAGATAAATCCATTGAATCAGCCAGTTCACAGCAAGCGCTTAGGGAGCGTCAACAAATGGCAAGACTAGCTTTGTAAACGAATAGCTTTTACTGAAGCCATGCATACGCACTAAACTCTGACACTATAAATAATGACCATGTCTAACTGCTACAGATATTATTTTAATATATTTTAATATTATTTAAAATTGCTTTCACAGTTAATGGTCTTTACTGTAACATACATAAATAATGTATGTTACAGCATTTGTCTCTGACCTGATTTTCAAACTCAAAAAATATATATCAGATTCTAATGTATAGATAAGTAACAATCTTGACTATTTTATGCAAGAACCTGCTAAACCTATATTGAAATTCACACACCAAATTATACCGTGATGTATACCGTCTACCGTCTGTGACCCAAATCATACCGCGATATGAATTTTAGGCCATATCGCCCACCCCTATGTGTAATTATGTAATCACTTCACAGTTGTTACTTTGTTACAGTTTACAATATCCAAAATATAATGTTGATAACCACGAGAAGAACATCGGTCCACTGTTTATAGAATAATGTAATGTTATAGAATAAGTTTCACTTCATGATCCGTTTCCAGATGTACTTGTATTCGGATCAAAGCAAAAGCCGATGATACATACTTTCCCATCATCATCTGAACCTGGTGCTGGATCTCAGTCCGGACGTTCGCAGTTATGCTGTTGCTCAACTGCTCAGTGGAATTTCGGAAGCTGTCAATCATCTGCTGTAGATGAGCAATCATTGGATCCCTTGCCTCCTGCTCCCTTTGCTTTTTGTTATTCAAATGAGTTTCAACTTGTTGAATGTCTACAAAAAAAGAATATACATTGGCAGGGTTATTTCTGTTTAAATACAAACAAATTATACAAGTTTCTAATTGAGGATGAATTTGAGCAACACAAACATTGTACAACTTTTTCACCTGGTCTTTAAAGTAAAGTAGTGTATCAAAAGAGGATATTCAAGCATAAAAAATTATTCAATTTCTTAATAAACTGATTATTTTCGCCAAACACAAAAGTCAGGTCAATTTAGAATTGTATACATCTATGATCCCGTCTATGCCTCGTGCTCAGTCATCTCAGTACGAGGGGAATGAACATTACTTACATTCGTGAGTGCCCTGCTTGAAACTGTCGTTGATTTGTTGAAACATGGATTGACAGCCTCTCTCAAAAACAGGAAGCACAACAGTCTGGAAAGCATCTTTATAAGCTGCCTGAATGGGTCCTTGCATTGCCTCTGCTGCAGCTCGACCAATCGCATCTGTTGTGTTCTGTGGGGAAAAAAGTATTGCGGTGGAAAGTAACTTAATGAAGATTGAAATCTTGGCTCGGTGCCAATGGCCTACCTTTGATTTGACCACTTTAGTCACATTGTCTTTTAGTGTGACCTCCACAGCAGTAAGTTTAGCCGCTATAGTAGCGTTCACTTGACTTGAAACAGGCTCTAGACTCTTTATGATCGCTGCAGAGAAGGAAATAAAATAATATGCTTAAAATATCCATTGCTTCTACAGTGATAGTTAAATTTGATGAACCGTACTCTGTGGAACAGTTTTCTTGATCTCCTCTCGTAGTACACGGTCCATCCTGTTGGTCAGGAAGGAGCTCAGTGTTTGGCTCAGATGCTCCTGCAGCTGTTGCTGTTGATTCTGACTTTCAATAAACAGCCGCTGGACTCTGCACTCTGCCACGCTTAGTTAAGGTATGGCAACACCCAGTTGGTTGAGGACAAAACAATTGATTAATGTTACCAAAGATGGAGTTACTTAAACACCTAAAACTCATCCCCATGAATTTATGTTGTAGAAACAACTGGAATATTCAGTAGACAAGGAAGGATACGCTCTTGTTCCTGATAACTGCTCAAAGACTGCTCAACCTGACAAGTAATAGAACTCTTCATGGCTTCAATCTGTCCGCGCAGATCACTTAACTCTCTCTGCTGGTTACGCAATAGCATTAACAACTCCTCTTGAACTTCAGGATTCCCCTGTCAAGAAACATAGCACAGGGTTGGCACTAAACATGCATTTACCACGATTCAAGGAGAAGATGGGTTCTACAACGAAGTACCAACTCAGATTTACTGTGTCAAACTGGTTGACAAAAACTCCCTACCTGCCCTGGACTAAACTGCTGTAGCTGAGAGAGTTCCCTGCAAAATAAAGTGCAGACTTTAGTCCCCTTTATTGTTATTTAAGGTAATTCAAGCAGTCCCAAGAGTTATGAACAGGTTATTGTAACCTTCTCCCTACCTGTCTTCTTTCTTGATTTTTCGCTTTAATTTCGGCGACACCCGAGGGGAGGACTTCCAGTCCTGCATTCTGTGGGATAAACGGGATGCACAGTTTCCTGAAGATGCCAGACTGGCGACCTCATCATCTGGGTCACTACAAAAAACACAGTAATGAAATAACAATGAAGGTGATAAATGTCATTTTGGCAACAGACCTCTGCTCTGTTACAGTATCCTGGACATCATTTGGATGATATGAACGTCTGCGGTAAGGTGATGTCAAGTGTCCATCTTTAGGCTCTTCCCTTGAACTACAACCGGGGAGAAACAAAACCATGTTATAATTATTTGATAGAATAAAATTAGAATCTTTTGTGTTTCATTACCAGTCTACTATGCCATTGTCTCGAAGGCTGTTTCTGGTTTCTCTGGTAATGTCAGGGGCAGCTGGCCAGGGTGTGTGGCCCACAGTTCCTTCTGTTGCTCCTGCACAGACACCCAGGTTCTCCTGAGATATAGCCGTCTCTAGTAAAGAAGGAGTGTGACTAAGTCTGTTTTCTGCCTCTGAAGGCCCACAAACTGAACTTTCAGCACCTCCAAGTTCCATTGGCAAAAAGCTGTAACAGAACACACAGAAAGTAGATTAAAACATTTCAAAAGAAAATACAAAAGTCAGATTGGTAGAATGTGTAGATCCTACTAAACCCGGTTCAATATTCATCATGACATAGAAAAAACAAATACAACACCTGCTGTTGGCAGAACGTGGTGAGGTAAGGAGGTGGAGAGCGGAGGCAGCAGAAGCCATGCTGTCTGTCTGTAGTGTTGAGAGAGGTAAAGAGTCTATGGTAGACACAAGTCCACGCTGAAGCTGCAGAGTCTGAGAAGCAATCTCTGGCATGTCCTGAGACATAACAGTGGATGCAGACGAGATAACATCAGGAGAGCGGGCGCGGGTCGGTGATGCCAAGGACGGGAGAAGAGGGGGATCAAGGACCTGTGGGCCATCCAAAACAAGAGGACCACTTGGAGACTGCATAAAACATGAAAAAAAATTAGAGATAGTGCCCAAGATCCCTATAAACAATGAAGATAAGAAGGTACATTCTTGCCACCTGAATGCCATCCAGCGAGGGAAGAAGTGCAGAGGCAGCTCTTGGACTGCTGCAGGACACAGAAAGGCCCAGGCTGCTGCTGCTGTTCTCCACTCTGCATGGACTCTGGCTCACATCATCCAATGCCCTGCGTTAAAGAATGACACACAAATGTGAGACAAATCTGACACACAGAACGTCATGTTAAACTATTATCACAATGTAAGTACCTGTCTGAATTACTGCTTATAGCTGTAACAATGGTGAGACTGCTTGCACTACTCCCCGGTGATGCTGGAACCTAGAAAACAACTTTAAAGTTATATCTGCTGACAGCCCCAAAATGTATTTGATATAGATGGATGATAGAACGAGGTTCACCAATCTTTCAAAATGTATATCAGTAATGATAGAGATCACATTTCCTCATTTTTAATATTTTTGTATTGATTATAAAAAATAAAAAAAGAGAAACCTATATTTATTCATCCAAATAAACCATCTCTGCAACTTTGTTTACAAATATTTCAATTAGTGCTGTCCAAAATATCGCGTTATTAACGCAAATCAATATTAACGGCGTCATTTTTTTTATCGCGCAATTTTTTACTTTTTATTGCAGACAAACACATATACAGAAAAAAAATAGAAACAAAGAAAAGGACTAGTTCAGATACATTGTAGACAGAGATTACAAACAATATGTAGTTGGAGATACAGGGGGCCAAAGAAGAAACCCAGAAGGGCACATAGGAGGGGGGGGGGAACATGAAGTGGGAGATGGGGGAGTGGGGTTAATAAAAAAGGCAATACAAGCAAACAGTATACAGTCATAGATATACCGAAAGTAAACAGAGAAACAGCATAGAGTATTTACATGAACAAATTTACAAAATATTTACAGATTGTTTATCATCATCATAATGACACCATGATGTTTCTATACAGTCTATGGTCTATACCCACACATACACACACCCACACCCACACACACACACACACACACACACATACACCCCACAGATAAGATAAGATATAAAGTCTGCCCGCCTGAGTTTCACCAAGCTAAGCGGAACCCAGCCAACATCAAAACCAAATCCGTCACACACACAGACCCCCAAGCAGGCCCCCACCCCAAAAAGGGGGGGAGGGAGCCCACGCCCGACAAGTGTTTTTCTTAACTAAACGTGTCATTCATTAAAATAAGCTTTCGCTTACCCTGACTTGTGTATTATCATTATTTTCACATATGCACATATTATTCATGTTATTATTATATTTATCTACTTATTCATTCATTTTTTATTTTTTATTATTATTATTATTAATTTTATTTTATTATTTTTATTTTATTTTATTTTATTATTTTTATTTTATTTTAATTAATTTATTTTTCCTTCTTTTCCCCCTAAATCAGTCTTTTTAGTAGTATTAAAATGATAATTCAAGGGACATAAAGAATAGATACAAATGTGTGACTAATTTGCGATTAATCGCGAGTTAACTATGAAATTCATGCGATTAATCGCGATTAAATATTTTAATCGTTGGACAGCACTAAATTTCAATATATTAAAGTGTTGATTAAAAAAGATTTGTATTTTACTTCGAGAGTCACCTATTGTGACAGTAATGGATCGATCGCAAGTCTCAATAGAACATATTAGGGAGGCAATTCCTTCCTCAAATACTAGCAGATACAATAAGGAACGTTATAGAATGTACAGTGCGAAGGTATTCGGCCCCCTTGAACCTTTCAACATTTCGCCACATTTCAGGCTTCAAACATAAAGATATACACATTTTTTTTTTTGTCAAGAATCAACAACAAGTGGGACACAATCATGAAGTGGAACGAAATTTATTGGATAATTTAAACTTTTTTAACAAATAAAAAACTGAAAAGTGGGGCGTGCAATATTATTCGGCCCCCTTGCGCTAATACTTTGTAGCGCCACCTTTTGCTGCAATTACAGCTGCAAGTCGCTTGGGGTATGTCTCTATCAGTTTTGCACATCGAGAGACTGGAATTTTTGCCCATTCTTCCTTGCAAAACAGCTCGAGCTCAGTGAGGTTGGATGGAAAGCGTTTGTGAACAGCAGTCTTCAGCTCTTGCCACAGATTCTCGATTGGATTCAGTTCTGGACTTTGACTTGGCCATTCTAACACCTGGATACGTCTATTTGTGAACCATTCCATTGTAGATTTGGCTTTATGTTTTGGATCATTGTCCTGTTGGAAGATAAATCTCCGTCCCAGTCTCAGGTCTTTTGCAGACTCCAACAGGTTTTCTTCCAGAATGGTCCTGTATTTGGCTCCATCCATCTTCCCATCAATTTTAGCCATCTTCCCTGTCCCTGCTGAAGAAAAGCAGGCCCAAACCATGATGCTGCCCAGGGCTGGACTGGGACAAAAAAACGGCCCGGGCATTTTTGCCTTCTTGGCGGCCCAGGCATGTTTTTTCACGTTTTTTACAGTTTGTTTATACCAGGCGTCTGCAACTCAAAAGGTTCAAAGAGCCAAAAACAATATCTGTCTGGAGCCGCAAAAAAAACAGCCTTGTATAAGGCTTATATGAAGGTAACACAGGCTGCAGCTGTATTAGCTACATTAGCTTAATATCTAAATGACAAAGTAAAGGCTACAAATGCATAATAAGCATTCATGATTATCAAATGTGTATTTTCACTGCAGCGTCTCCTGGAGAGAATGACGCACCACGTGACGACTCTGGTTTAACTTTAACTTCCATTTTTTGTCTTCATGCAATTGTAGAAATACAGTAAATAAATCTGCTTTTTGGCTCAGTTCACATCACAGGCTGAAGTTTGCTGGAGCTGAATGTCCTTAATGGCCTTTTCTTTCACCGTTTTTGCGAAGGTATTTGAAGTTTGAAAATAGGTGCTCTGAATTTGCGATGAATGAATCCTTCACGTGATCACCGTGAACGGTGTTTAGCGCATCATTGTTCCTCGTGTTGTAACAAAACTTCTCAATACAAACATGAAGCAGTCCTTCCTCATTGACTGAAAGCAAATGTTCATACTTATTCTTAGCACAGACTTATTATCGACTTTCTCTTTTTAGCTTTGGGATCCATGGCACATGCCGGTTTGTTTACAGCAGCAGCCGCCTAACGCGGGCCGCTTCACAGGATATGACGCACTACGTTGACAGAAATGTCGAAATTGAATATTACTTAAGCACATTTTTGCAGCATTTAAAAACGTTCAGAATGTTTTTCATCCTACAGAAACCACATTCAAACTAGAAATAAAATATAGCCCTCCCACTCCATTTCAGACATTTTTTAAAAGACTCAAGCCGCAGGTTGCCGACCCCTGGTTTATACAGCATGGAAGAAAATACTAAAGGATCAGGATATGTGCAGTTTCAACAATTAAAATACAGTGCAATAGTCTACATTACAAGAGAGTAATAAACATGTCTCAGAGTGAGGGAGGTGGACACAGACAACACTATTGTTTGTTACAGGGATGAGAATTGGTCAAAAAAGTCTGAAATGCATAATGCCAGCCATTGTCTGTCACTAAATCTGTTTGATTTGTTCACAACATTTTTCTACATGGGCTCAAATATTAACTTTTAATGCAATGGAAAATTTAGGTACCTGAGCTTTAATTTAGTCGCTCTTCGAGAGGAGAGGGGAGACGCGGACTGTTTCCTGCAGCGGTGTATTTATTGGGTGCACAGATTACACAAAGAAATGCATGGTCCTGTGCGCGTTTATGGTCTTGGGTATATGGTCACGTTGAGGCTACGCGCTCACCGTGCTGTGTTGTGAGCGGATCTCGTGGTTCCCGCGTCCAGCTCAGAGCCGCTGGATGCTTGAACCGCTCATTACAAAGCGGCCGCAGCTGTCTCGGAACACTGCGGCCGCTGAGGTGGCGGAATCCCGTTCGAGTACATACAGCAGTTGGCCGCGGACATGCGCGCCCCCCCTCAAACATTTTTCACAAACATGTTTTTTGTATGAAGCAGACAGACCGGCCCAAATATGGGCATTGCCCGGTACGCCCGATGGCCAGTCCAGCCCTGATGCTGCCACCACCATGTTTGACAGTGGGGATGGTGTGTTCAGGGTGATGAGCTGTGTTGCTTTTACGCCAAACATATGGTTTTGCATTGTGGCCAAAAAGTTCGATTTTGGTTTCATCTGACCAGAGCACCTTCTTCCACATGTTTGGTGTGTCTCCCAGGTGGCATGTGGCAAACTTTAAACGAGACTTTTTATGGATATCTTTGAGAAATGGCTTTCTTCTTGCCACTCTTCCATAAAGGCCAGATTTGTGCAGTGCACAACTGATTGTTGTCCTATGGACAGACTCTCCCACCTCAGCTGTAGTAGTAGTAGTAATGTAGTAATGTTTATTTATATACCGCCTTTTCACTGCACATCGGAGTCTCAAAGCGGTTTACAATTGTTATTTTTTTTGGGAGTGGGGCCAGTACAGGAGGCACATGCCAGAACTATTGTACATATTTTTAGTGGTAGGGGAAACCGGAGCACCCGGAGGAAACCTACGCAGACACGGGGAGAACATGCAAACTCCACTCAGAAAGGCCCTGGTCCCACCGGGATTTGAACCCAGGACCTTCTTGCTGAGAGGCGAGAGTGCTAACCACTCAGCCACCGTGCCGCCCACGTAGTTATCTGCAGTTCATTCAGAGTGATCATGGGCCTCTTGGCTGCATCTCTGATCAGTCTTCTCCTTTTTTGAGATGAAAGTTTGGAGGGACGGCCGGGTCTTGGTAGATTTGCAGTGGTCTGATACTCCTTCCATTTCAATATAATTGCTAGCACAGTGCTCCTTGAGATGTTTAAAGCTTGGGAAATCTTTTTGTATCCCAATCCAGCTTTAAACTTCTCCACAACAGTATCTTGGACCTGCCTGGTGTGTTCCTTTGTCTTCATGGTTCTCTCTGCGCTTTAAACAGAACCCTGAGACTATCAAAGAGCAGGTGCATTTATACGGAGACTTGATTACACAAGTGCATTCTATTTATCATCATCAGTCATTTAGGACAACATTGGATCATTCAAAGATCCTCACTGAACTTCTGGAGTGAGTTTGCTGCACTGAAAGTAAAGGGGCCGAATAATATTGCACGCCCCACTTTTCAGTTTTTTATTTGTTAAAAAAGTTTAAATTATCCAATAAATTTCGTTCCACTTCACGATTGTGTCCCACTTCTTGTTGATTCATGACAAAAAATAAAAATGCCTGAAATGTGGCAAAATGTTGAAAGGTTCAAGGGGGCCGAATACTTTCGCAAGGCACTGTATACATTCTATGAAGCAGAATGATAATTGGTATACTCACTGAAGTGCTTGGTGTCATAAAGGCATCGGGAGTCATTAGTTTGGCTGCTGAGTTTGTTAAAAAGTCAGCCGAAGTGGAAAGAGAAGATATTTTCCTCAAATCAGTTTGAGATCCGCTCCCCGAGTCCTTGTCTGAGCCCTGATCTGTAAAATGGTCTAAAAATCCTATGGTCAAGTGCATGTCACAATAAGGCATTGTTATAGATATCTGTGTTGACAAAAGAAGATTAAACATACCCAAGACATCTTTAGAGTCTGACTGTGCCAAGAAATCTGCACAACTTGAACCCACATTTGGTTGAAATAATATTTGAACATCCTGTAGGCTCCTGGTAAAAGATAGATACTAGATCAATAAAGATAATATAAAACTGTATAGAATTGTGGTGTGAACGTTTAGGCACATTAATAAATGTTCAATTCTATTAGGATCATAATAATTCCTATGAAATGAAGAATGAAATGGAATAATGCCAATGAAAAAGAGATTCAAATAGCATCCTCATTATTATTATTAACCAGTATATCCAGATTTGACTTCTAACAACTGGTCTATTTATCCCTTTGCCTTCTGTCCCTGTGATCAGGTTCAGCTAACAAGTAGCACAAAGAAAAACAGATTCTTCATAAATAAATACATTATTGATCCCGCTGTAGGAGAAATTCAGGTCACCAGCAGCAGAAACACATCCATCCATACAAAAAACATAAGTACATGAAGTTTCTTAATTAACAATAGTACACATGTTCAACTCAGATCTGTTGTACAGTCGAAGGAACAATGGAAACCTCTTATAAACCTCTGAGCGCCCAAAGTGACATGCAGAGTGTGTCTGGACTTACTCAAGAGGTCCTGCATGAGAGCCTTCACTCTCAAACTTTTTGTTAGGCTTAATTTTTAAAATTTTAAATGAATAGGAAGAAAAGCCATATTAATTCTGCCTGATCTGTAACTGCACAATTAATCATGAAGCAAGGTAAAGACTTAATAGAACATTTTATCCTGGGTACCCAAACGTTTGTACTCCAGTTTTATTTATTTGATGGTCTTGAGCCTGTTAATGAACATATATGCTAAAAACAAGAAGGTAACAAAACATGCAAATGCATAGGATCAGTGTAAAGACGTACTTTGTGTGGACGCAGTAGAGTTTAATCTGGATTCTGGACTTTGACTCTGCCGGTCCTTGAGCGCCCTCTACAATGAAACACACCAAATATTACAGAATTTCAATGACAACAATACCTTACACTTCAAATGTGCTCTATTAGCTTGTTGAAGCCTCTCAAAGCACTACACTGAGGTCAATATAAAATCCAGTCCACACTCTAGTGTGGCCGTTCACAGGTCAACCAATGCATGCACAGTTGACACATGCGCACAGTAACTTAATTAAAAGAATACAACATTTCAGTGCCTTAATTGATTTGTTATTTTCTAAAACTACTCAAAAACTATTTAAATCAGGACTGGTTTCATTTTCTTGCAGAAAGATAATACTGCAATATATTTTTTTTTTTGTCCTTGACACCACTATAAAGTATATATATGAACAGAACACCTGTAGTCAAACTCTCTTCTCCTTCCTCTGCTGGCAGGACCTCAGTGTGTTGGAGACGACTCTGCGTCACATCTCTGACCCCAAAACTGAGCACTGGGTGAGTGAGGAGAAACTCTGACACCGCAGTAAAACTAGCCTTTCCCTTCTCAAGGTCCTGCTGTAACTCCATTACATAAAGAACCTAGACAAAGACAAACCCACAATATGTAATAATTGGTATACACATTTATTTTGTTAGAAATTTAATTATAGTCTACCTTCCGTTGCACATCCGTGAGAATTAGATACTCTGCAGAAAGGTCTAGACTCGCCTTAAGACTTGGACGTACAGAGTTGTAGGGATCTGGGGAAAACCTAAAAATGTATACCAATCATTTAATGTTTAATATCCAACTACCACCAGTTCTGGCAAATCCCAAGAAATTGATAGTAAAAACAACACCTGATAGTCTGTAAACATGTCCAGGACACTGTGCACCACATCTTTAACTCCTGGTTTTGATCAGCTCCAGTAATCAGAAAGCGCCAGAATGGATCTCTTTAAATTAAGGAGAAAGTTAGAATTGCAGCCTTTAAATTCTATTATTCTGCGTACTTACTCTGGATCTTGTCTCTTATGGTTGTCACAGAACAAAAGACAAGAAAGTGGCTGACCTCCATGAGGCCGCAGTTCATGGAGACATCTGGACAAAGGGACATTGACAATAAAAGAGAAACTTGCCTTGAATGTATAGTTTAAGAGATAAAGTTTACGCTTACCGTGGTGTGTCCTGTGTACCTTCAATGTATATCTGCCAAAATTTGATATATCCATCATAACTGGCTGTTGCTAGCACAGTTCCATCTGGAGAAAGAGCTCCTTCACTAACTCTCTGAAATGATAATTCAATATATAGTGAACCTTATTAACAAATAATCTTTTTTAAAAAAAAAATGAAAGGATTATACTTGAGTGTGGCCCTTCACTGTAATCAAGCCTTCTGTAACATCAGATGCATCAATAGGCCAAGTGCTGTTGTTTGCTCTTAGAACTAATAGGTCCCATACCTCAGACTGAAATGACAAAGCTCAGAGAATTAGAATTCAGTAGTATTATTATAGTAGTAAAACATTCAATCACTTTGTGGAAATAACTAGTTACCCTATCTTCGTGAAGAAGCGCCAGAGTCTGACTGATATCATCCTGATTCTCCTCATTATCATCCAAAATGAATGGGCACCAAATGAGACGACGATGAGGATTCAGTGGAGTATCTTCTGGACGACGAATATGAACAATGATTTCCTCTCTTTTCAAAATAAGTTAAGATTAAAAAATACACTAAAAAATGTTGTATATTAGTCAAATATAAATCAATGAGGGAAAGGATACAAGATCTTGCTGGGTGCAGAGGTAAGTTGCCAGACAAAAAGATTTCCAGCTTCATCAACACATCCCAAAAGAGAAGAGTCAAGGTGGGCAAAAGCTAGATCTGTAACTGCTCCAGTAAATCCTTTAAGTAACACACGCTCAGTAAAGCCAACACTCAAGACACGTATCATTGCATGGTTGTTCGCCCCTGAGGTGACATCAATGGGAAATTGTTAAAATAGTAAAACATGGCACTAAATCAATGACGTAAAGACATGATCTCACCTTTAATAGCATAAGCTAAAAATGAGTTGGAAACAGCAATAAGTCTTCCATAGTAATATTTGTGTTCCCAATCATACTTTGCAACAGGTTGAATCTTCACCTAAATACAAAAACAAATTCAATAGGTTTAACATGTTCAAATTAGGAAAATAATAATATGCAAAGGTTAATTTTGTTGGGTACCTTGTTACTGCCCCGAGCCTTGCTGTTAATGCTTGAGTCTTTGCTGGCCACTATCTCCACATTTTCAGATGTTATGGGTTTAGAAGTGGAGTCATTATCACCCGAAAGGCAGCTAATAAATAAATTGCATGATTAAAACGTTGTCTTGTTATTATGTGCACCATAATTGTTTTATTTCTTTAAAAGTCAAGCTCACATTATTTGACAGTCCTTCGAGCTGCTCATGTCTTGAGAAATGGGCCTGGAAAGTTCTGAAGTGATCGAGTGGTCAACATTTCCAAGAAGTCCCGCAGTTCCCAGTAACCCATTGAGCTCTCCGTTAAAAGAGGACTTTCTCTGTACGTCCAAAGATTGGTGATCTGAAAACGAGCACAAAAGGCTCACTTGAGATAAACACATTTAATTTATGTGAAGATGCTCGTGTTATAGAGTTCGACAAGAATTAACACATTTTCCATAAAGCGGGCGTGTAAACCCAAGAATGTAGAAAAATGCATAATAGAAATGATCAAGCACGTGGTAACGAATACAACTTTACCCAGTTCTACTAGTTAGTTAAGTTAGGTTGCTATCTAGTTAGCATAACACAAGATGATATATCAAAATGCCTCTAAACCTGTTAATTGCAAGACTAAGTGAGGCATCACAGAGCCTGGACAACTAACCACGCAGACACGTTTTGATACCTTGAAATTAGGATATCCAAATAATATGGTGTAGTTATCTACTAATGATGTGTAAGGCAGACAGTTGTAATACAAAACAAAGTTAATTGTTGTGAAACCAATATACTGTGCGTAACAACTGTATCATGTTAGCTTCCGTTAGCCTCTTGTCGGCCTCCAGCGCAGTGCTTTATGTGCGGCGGTACTCACCAGGGCCGGTGCGGTCGAGCTTCAGGATGTCCCGCAAATGCTGGGTCGCACCCTCGATGTCAATATTCGAACCGGACGCCATGGTTGAGTTCATAATAGCCTTTATGTGTATGTGGTTTTGTATTTTTACTTCACAGTAAGCTCGCCAGATCCATGAAGCTCACTCAGAGCTACCTCTAAACTTCCGTTGCGTCGAAATACGTGTCCGACTATGCCCTGCATATCATGTTGGTTCCTAGCTAAAAATGAATCTCTGATTTACTCAAATGTTTCCTTTCTTGTCCAGAGTAAATAGCGTTTTGCAATGCATTAATTATCACTTCACTATTGATAATGTTCTATAAGGTGTTCAGAACAACAAGGTGCATAAGGTCCTAAGAAATCCTAGTTGGGTAGTTGGCCTCGAACCAAAATATATTAGTCCCATATGAACCGGCCCGGACTCTGAGGAGCACAGGGACGGGGCTTAGTTCCCAGAGTCAGGTCTAAACATGGGGAGGCTGCATTTCAGATTCATGCTGCTAAAATCTGGAACAATCTTCCTGAAAGTGTGAGACAGGCCTCCTCTTTGACAATGTTTAAAACCAGGTTAAAGACAGTTCTGTTTAGCTGTGCATACAACTGAGGGATTTTATATTTTTATCTTTCTTTTTTAATGTACTGTGATTATTTATATTTTAATGCTATCTTGCACTTTGAATTGCCTTGTGTATGAATTGTGCTATATAAATAAACTTGCCTTGCCTTACCTTGGGTATGGATTGGTTCCGATTTATTTCCTTCAATCCAAGACATTTTTTCTCCTAGTAGCAGTAGAAATTAATCCATGGAAATTACCTTTTCAGAATTTTAAAATGTGTTCAACTCTAATCAAATGTGGATTGTAATAAAATGTGTCGCAATTTGTATCGTTAAAGTAGTATTAAAAAGTATTTGATTAGTGTTCAGCTCATTTGCATATAAACATAAACGCAAGGAAACTTTTCATGGATACTTCCAGAGTGTCATTGTGATAATGACATCGTTGAAAATAAAACGAATTTGCCCGGCCAGGATTTCCATAGATATGTTTCATGGTGGGGGGAAAAAAATCTTATAACTTTGCCAAGACTATTCTTAATTACACCATAAGACGTTTCCTGAAATAGTTCTAAGAATAGTTCTCGAGCAGTTCCTTCAATGTGTTTATGAATATACAAGTATGCAGCTTTTTAGACCTTTGTTTTTTCATCACAATAAATAGTTGGAAATTGCATTACCCACAAGGCAAAAATAAAGACTGGTCTTCACAAGTTTATACTTTTCCAAATTTTTACTTAGGCCAGTACATTTTACTTATGTAAAAACATTTTATAGCTCTATAATTTCCCTGCTTCTGGAAAACTTATTGAACATAAAAATAACTTTTAGCAGTATAATAATGTTGCAATGTCATGACTCGTGTGCAATAAACCAAATGATGGCTCCTGATTGACAAATGTTGGAGTCTGTTAACACTTTAAAAATATAGGGGTGTGCTAAAAAGAAAATAAAGGTCAGTAGTTACAATATTTATACTTTGTTATACCCATTTACTGTATATTCATTCTTATTCATGTTTTTTTATATACAGATTTTTTTTCATAATAGTCAAGAGACCCTCACATTGGAAACAGAAGCAAGAGGCTGACAATATTTTCCATTAACTCCAATATATCAAATATACACAAAATATATAAATGCAGTTGGCTTGTTTGGAATCTTATCCAATCGCTTGGAAATACTGAAAGTATTAGAAACACGTAAGAAAAAGTCCAGGTTTATTGTGAATTGTGGATGCAATCCAATTTAACTGCTTGACATCTGTATGAAAAAGGAGAAGAGAAACAAATGTTGTATAACAGCCTTTTACACAGTAACTTTTTCCTGTGCATATTTGGTTTGCAAGAGCCAAACCGAGCAACAAGTAATGGACCTTGGCAATATTAGTGGAAAAAATAACTAATTTTAAACAGCTACGGCAAGCTAAATATAATATGTGTGGTATCTAAAAACAATTACGACACAAAATTGAATGAACCAAACCTGTACATGGAGCAACAAACCAGTCGACAACAGTCAAGCATTGCAGAGTTGTGAACAGTGCAGTAAACAACAGAATTGGTTAAGTAAAGATCAGAGCAAAGATGAGTTAACAGCGTTGGTAAGCATTCCCCATTGTGGTGGCTTGAGAGTAGATGTAATGATGGGCTCCCAGCTTCATGCAGATCAGTGCAGTGTTCGATAGGGTTATCCGAGTGGCCGGGCGACTTGATAAGCAAACACATGGTCTAAAAACCCGCTGTGATGATTGACATACAGAATCCTGGAGATGTGTCTGTCGCATGGGCATAATTGAGATGTAGCATGTATCTATCTCATTTCCTCCCACCCAATCCATCACCCCAGTGTACCACACTATGGCTGCCCCTGTCCACCAAAATGTGGGAGATTAGCCAAAATTGTGAATAGCCAGTCTGAACATATCATTAGTGCAGACCCATGATTCGTTTACACTCTTCAACATGAACGTCTGTTGGAAGCCCATAATAAGGTCATCGTCCGCCTGCAATCCACAGAGAAGAAAAAATAGTATTACACATTTTATATGTTTGTATTTGAATTTGACAGCAGACATTTGCGTATAGTGTGTACAAACAGTAATAACTTACATCCCTCGAGATAATGCTAGTTACATCCCCACAAAAAATATGTTATTTCCACCTGTTTTATCTTGATGAGTCTACCTTAGCAATTGATATACTTGACACTTTTACAGTCCTCTATGAGTGCTCCTGAAAGCCCAGAGGCCCAACTGAAGTGATCTCGATAGCTACAATAGGGCTAGGGGCCTATAGTTTATAGAGTTGTCACAATTTAATAAACAAGGGAATCTTCCCATAATTGGCTAAATATTGTATATCGTGTATCTAGTTGTTTGTGTTGTTTTTTTTTTTTTTTTAAAAGATACTCACTTTTAGTTGTCCTACGACCATACTTATTATACACGAGTCAGGAGTTGGTTGGTGGTCTTGTGCTGTTACAATATGGGCTATCTTTGTGAAAGGGAGACTCTGGAAACAAAAACAATAAAACCATAACTGTATCTCATGTTTGTTGACTTTTACATGACAGAAACCAAGAGGACTCAAAATGTTTCAGCACTGAGCTTCTTTTAAACAAAAAAAAGACATCTTCATTTATTTTTCATCAACTTGATAATTGTATGCAGAAATAGTAGAAAACATGCGTTTTACATTAAATACAACAATTACATAAAAAAGTGCAGAAATAAATAAAAAAAATCCCCTTTCCCTTTTCTATTCCCAGACACCAGAATAAATATTAAATTTTTTATACTACAGTTTACAACACATCCTACAACTTTCATTTATAACTGAATATGTCCACAAGAAATAACGTCAGAATAAGCCTGGAATTACATAAGACATGAATGATACATGATGCAAAAGAAAAACTGATGGGTCAACCATAATCTGGATTAATAAATAAATAAAACTCACTGTAAGTTTCCTAACAATTTCCATTTTCCCTTGGAACTGCTCTCCTTCCCACGTAAGGCATGATGCATCGGTCTGTAAGAATATTAATACAAACCATTTTAGAGATGGATTAAAGAAACCAGTTATACATGAGTAAAAAATAATATCACACTGACATAAATATTTCCAAGTCGTGATCTGTCAGTATCAAACACCTGATAGTAGTGGGTCACAAAGGAGGATCCTATCTGAACCCACTGAGGCGGTTCCACCATCTTGGTTAGCCCTACAATACACTGAGGCAAAGATATAAAGATATGTACAGTTATAAATATTGTGTGTTAAAAATTTGATTTCAATAACATACAACCCGATTTGATAAGATAAATAAAAGACATTTAAAAAGCCATGTCCAATTATGCATTTATGAAAAGTTAACAAGAGAGAAGTCAATGAGCCGTTGCTTCCATCTTGTTAACTTTACATATGAACATTCAAGCAAAACATATAGCCATAACATATAGCCATAACATATAGCCATAACATATAGCCATAACATATAGCCATAACATATAGCCATAACATATAGCCATAACATATAGCCATAACATATAGCCATAACATATAGCCATAACATATAGCCATAACATATAGCCATAACATTTAGCCATAACATATAGCCATAACATATAGCCATAACATATAGCCATAACATTTAGCCATAACATATAGCCATAACATATAGCCATAACATATAGCCATAACATATAGTCATAACATATAGCCATAACATATAGTCATAACATATAGTCATAACATATAGTCATAACATATAGTCATAACATATAGCCATAACATATAGCCATAACATATAGTCATAACATATAGCCATAACATATAGTCATAACATATAGTCATAACATATAGTCATAACATATAGTCATAACATATAGCCCATTAGCTTAAATCAGGAATGTTTGGCTGAGCAAATAAAAGCTGCCAGAGTAACACTAGACAGCACCGGTCATGCGCTTTCACACAACTTGATGTGGAATCGTCTAGAAGGATTCAAGCAGGGATATTACAATGTTACTAAACTAGAGGTAATCAGATATTATATGGACACATAGATCATTGCTCAGTATTGAGTAATTTAGAAAGGGCATACCGTATGTCAATAGCTGGTGTGGTGTGTGATTTTGTTTGCTATTGTTGCTAGCATTAACAGCTAACTAATACACCATTTATTGCTAGCCTTTTTGGCAACAGAAAATCAATCTTTCGTGACTTGTTGAGCCTGCTTGTCCCGTGGCACAGGCTGTTCAGTGGTTGCTAAAAATATCTCGTCTTCTTCAAGTGTTGATACCTCTACAGGCCGATGATAGTTGTGGAGCCTTGTACAGCTACCCTCCATAGGCGTGCCCGATGTTTTTTAGTCAACACAACACCAGTAGTTCATATTTCCACCAATGCAGCGTATCTACCGCCCACCAAACAATCTACAGAACCCCTGACATTGTATGTAAGTATTTCCATTCACTCTAATGCAGACCAAATCTTTAAACAACTAGTAAGTACAACTTACCTCAGACCAATGCCAAGGCCCACGGCCGCACAACCAGTGCTGTTATTCCCACCCCCACGAGCAGAGGGCACGCGCCTAGAGAAGGACTTCCACGCAAGGAGTGTAGGGTAATGTAGTCTTTCAGGTAGAATGTGTTGAACTTGCGTCTTTTTGCATGGATGTACGATTATAGTATGATTTTCTTTTTCTAATAACACTAGCCCACGGAAGCTTACTTGCTTTGAATTTGGTATATCTTTTTTCTTTTGTTCAAAACGCTGTGTCCAACCTTTTTCACCCAGAGAGCTACTTTCCCTGGACGATATAGGTAGAGAGCTACTCCTTTAAGCGGCCCTGGGAAATAAATGGTGATATATAGGCGAGAACGAGCCTGATATTGGGTACAGTCATTATCTAGCATCGTATATGTGTTACTAGTGCTACAAAGTAAGCACTCTTACAATAATAAATAATGAAAATGAATAATACAACTTGAAATATCAAGTATATTATTTGATTTGTTAATTTCTAAATCCTTTGGCGAGCTACTGATGGCTCCCGAGCTACAGGTTGGAGACCCCTGGCATAGAGGCTCAAGATGTAAATCATTTTAACACTATTTGTTCTGTGAATTCTTTAAAATAGCAGTTTTGCTTATCGGAGCAGTGTGCAGTCATCAAGAGTCATGGATCCCTACAGCTACTGTGAATGGGGCTGTTGTTAGATATGTTCATATACAGTGTTGGGTGTAACGCGTTACTAAGTAACGCTTTACTGTAACGAAATTACAATTTGAGTAACGTAGTAGTGTAACGCGTTATTATGAAAATACGTTTCATTATATTACAGTTACTACCTAAATACTTCGTAACAGGTGTTACGTCGAGCCGCGTTTCCCCGTCAGATACTGTTTCCCCTGCGTCTACTCGCCGCTCCGCCCCGCTCCGCGCCGCTCCGCACCTCGCACGCGGCAAATAGTGCGCGTGCTTGTTCAGCACTCGTAACCAGCGAGCCGTGCTTGCGCGGCGAGGCAACTACAGACACAGTGAAAGCACCTGAGTGAAGTTGGCCCCTACCCCACGCAAAACTCAGTGAAAAATAGCCACACTCGTTAGTGCTGGTTTGTGCAGAAAAAATATCGTTTGTGCTGTTTTGGTTTTTCAGGTATGACAACTTTATATTAATATAGCCTATATATATATATAATATGATATGACAAATAAATAAATAAATATGTATGTATGTATGTATGTATATATATATATATATATATATATATATATATATATATATATATATATAATTTCACAAATATATATATATATAAATACATTTATCTATCATGTATATATACATGTATTCCCTCAGTGTTAAACAGGGGAAACGCGTCCTGATGGCCAAATAACCCCCGTCAGATACCGTTCCCCCGTTTAAAACTGAGGGAACGGTATCTGACGGGGGTTATTTGGCCATCAGGATGCGTTTCCCCTGTTTAACACAGGGGGAACGGTATCTGACGGGGGTAATTTGGCCGTCAGATACCGTTTCCCCCGTTTAAAAACTGAGGGAACGGTATCTGACGGGGGTTATTTGGCCATCAGGATGCGTTTCCCCTGTTTAAAACTGAGGGAACGGTATTTGATGGGGGTTATTTGGCCATCAGGATGTGTTTCCCCCGTTTAACACAGGGGGAACGGTATCTGACGGGGGTTATTTGGCCATCAGGATGCGTTTCCCCTGTTTAAAACTGAGGGAACGGTATTTGATGGGGGTTATTTGGCCATCAGGATGTGTTTCCCCCGTTTAACACAGGGGGAACGGTATCTGACGGGGGTTATTTGGCCATCAGGATGCGTTTCCCCTGTTTAAAACTGAGGGAACGGTATTTGATGGGGGTTATTTGGCCATCAGGATGTGTTTCCCCCGTTTAACACAGGGGGAACGGTATCTGACGGGGGTTATTTGGCCATCAGGATGCGTTTCCCCCGTTTAACACAGGGGGAACGGTATCTGACGGGGGTAATTTGGCCATAAGGACGCGTTTCCCCTGTTTAACACTGAGGGAATACATGTATATATACATGATAGATAAATGTATTTATATATATATATATTTGTGAAATTATATATATATATATATATATATATATATATATATATATATATACATACATACATACATACATACATATTTATTTATTTATTTGTCATATCATATTATATATATATATAGGCTATATTAATATAAAGTTGTCATACCTGAAAAACCAAAACAGCACAAACGATATTTTTTCTGCACAAACCAGCACTAACGAGTGTGGCTATTTTTCACTGAGTTTTGCGTGGGGTAGGGGCCAACTTCACTCAGGTGCTTTCACTGTGTCTGTAGTTGCCTCGCCGCGCAAGCACGGCTCGCTGGTTACGAGTGCTGAACAAGCACGCGCACTATTTGCCGCGTGCGAGGTGCGGAGCGGCGCGGAGCGGGGCGGAGCGGCGAGTAGACGCAGGGGAAACAGTATCTGACGGGGAAACGCGGCTCGACGTAACACCGGCGGCACCGGCCTCGGGAAAGCAGGGGAGAACTGCACTACCGCTCCATGCGTGCCTGCGTGCTTACGTCACGCTGCGCACATGAGCGAGATTGTTTGTAAAGCAACATGGCAGAGTCAGAGGAGAAGAGTTCTTTTTACCGGTGGAGATATGCACACTATTTCAACTACATCAGTCAAAAAGATAAAAACGTTGTCGTGGAGTGCAAGCTTTGCGCGGGCAGCAAGCGATTGTCCACCGCAGCCAACTCATCCTCGAACCTTTTAAAAAAAAAGCGCCCCAGTAGAGAGGCTGTTCAGCCTGGGCAGCCTGGTGCTAACTCCAAGAAGGAATAGGTTGTCAGCTAAACGATTTGAGAAACTATTGCTACTCAGGTACAACCATTACTTTGAAAAACAACAACATTAGAGTTAGTTGTTAAACAGTTAAACTGTTACTTTCTGCACTTTTGATATGTTAAAATGAAACTCAGGTTGTTGTTGTTTAAATAGTTTTATTTTATTATTTAAAAATGTTTTTTTTGCACTACCAGCCAGTAGTCTTGATGACTAAACTGCCTTAATTTAATTGTCCTGGCTGCTATAGTAATTTACTTTCGTTAATGTTATGCCATTTGAGCCAGTTTTGATTTGTTGTTGACCTTTATTTAAATGGCTTTAATAAAGCAAACATACAAACTTGATTCTGTTCTCTTTTTTGCGACACGAAGTAATCCAAAAGTAATGTAACTTAGTTACTTTCTTGGGGCTGTAACTAAGTAATGTAACTAATTACTTTTTTTAGAAGTAACTAGTAATTTGTAACTAATTACATTTTCAAAGTAACTTACCCAACACTGTTCATATATCTGTGTGTGATGTGGAGAGAATTGAGGTGACTTGAGATGTATTGAGCATACGCTCAATGATGAAAATTATGAAATGTTTTGCAATAGGAACTGAATGGTTTGACGAATGAACTTTTAACTTGTTTCGGACAATATAATAATAATTATGCATCGGTTTTATATAGCGCTTTTTGAACACTCAAAGACGCTTTACATGTCATTATTCATTCACTCCATACACGGTGGTGATAATCTACTATTGTAGCCACAGCTGCCCTGGGGCATACTGACAGAAGCAAGGGTAAGTGTTGAGTGTCTTGCCAAGGACACAACGACAGCAGACATCAGTGGGAGTCGGTGGAGAAAGTCCTGTGATAGGCTCGAATCGACGACCTCTAGGCTTATAGACCATTGCTCTACCAACTGAGCTACTGTCAATATTTGCTTTTAACCATGTATTGAGATGTCACTATCAACTCATTTCCATTATCGGCTCCCCCTGTGCAAAGGTATGATAAACATGTGTACAGTCAGCCCACCCTCGCCCCTGGTCTAACCGTACAAGCTTGGTGGAGTGGACACCAAGTGTTTATCATTATGCTTCTTTATCAAGACCAACATATAGCAGAAGTGGTGATAGTTGTGAATTGAACATACAAAGCCAGACAAACACATGTATTTGCATGATACATCACCCTCGTTGTAACCTTTAAAGATAGCATTAAGCACTTTGTACAAGGGGGATAAATGGTCACCTCCATTTAATCATATTTTGCTAATTCTGAAAGGAACAGGTTTCTCAATATTGTGTAAGAGACTAAAATATTAGTAAATTAGTAAAGTTGTAATGATAAACACAGAATGTAAGACGCAAGAAGCATTTTGTGGTAGTAGTAGTAGGTTATTTTTTAGTCATTTCACAATCTCGAAGAGATGGTACGGATCATTTCATGTTCTAAAAACAAAAGGCAGTTACTGAAAGGGTTTAGGCTGAAGTGAAGCACTTGTCAAAGCCTAACCCTATCACTGCAACTTATTAAAGCCAAGAAACTGCAAAACAGCAGAATGCAGCTTAAAGAACAAAGTCAATTTCAACAATTTTGTGGATACAAGACAAATTTAGAAAATTAGTCATATAAATAAAAGATATATATAGGTCTATGTATAATAATCTAAATAGAATCCTGTACAATTCTGTATAGACCTGAGAGGACAAAGGATGGAATTAAATAGATCACTCTATTTCTCTATATTCTCTCACAAAATTGTCTTGAAACCCTTTATTGATGTGGCTTTTTTTTTTTAGCATATTATCCAGACCATTCCATAGATCAACTTTGACTGATATACATTTATACTTAGCATTAGTCCTCACAATAAGTCATCTCAGAAAAAAGGGAGTCTCTCTAGTTTTGAACCTCTCCTGGAGACAACACAAGGGTGAGGCTACTGCTGCTGCCGGCCATGATACTGCTAAACCTGCAATGTTGCAAATATTTCAAGGGCAGCAGTACATCAGCATGTTGTGTGTGTCTGATCTGAAGGTGGCACAGTTCTTGCTCTTAACATTTGAAAAAGAAGGATTCCAAGGACTATCAAATAAATTTGGTAACTGTCAAAAGTAGAGCTAATGTCAGGGCCAATCCACTCTAAGAATTATTTTCTTGTAAAAGTATCTAGTCTCTACATTTTTTTTTTTAATTTTCAAACAAATTAATTGTGTCGGTCAGTAAGTACTCTCAACCACTACACTTTGCAGTCCATGTCATCAGCCCATATTATTGTCCTTGTCTCATGTTGCAGTTTATCTTGCTGAAAATATGCACATTTCTCCTCACATAAAGAACAAGAAGAAGAAGAGCAAGAAGCCGACGAGTTCCCATAGATTCATGGTTCCCATAGCAACGTACATACAACGGGGTCCTCATTGTCGCCTTTGGAGCGCCTGACTAATAAATATTCCCTGAAACTGAACATTTAGATATTATCATGCACAACAGTGATTAAAGGATATGTAAAAACCATGACGTGTATATTATATATATTTTTATACTCATACGTAACATAATATATTTGTATAAAAGTGTAACACATAAAATGTAACATCAAATGTGTCTATACTTCACCGGGGCAAATTTACTCATTACATATTAGAATAAGTAATCCAGTTTAATTGCTTAACAAAGGTCGACATTGACCTCTAATGACTAGTGAACTACAGTACCCAAACGGCAATGTTCCAGCCTACAGTACATTCTGCTGCTGCTTATCCGGGGATGTCACACCGCTGCTATTTTCTCCCTACAGTCCCTCTCAGTACCCGCGGACAAAAACAGGGCTTTGGACAGCAAGAAAAACGCACATCGATACGTCAGACAAACACTAGTCAGTTATGGCAGAGGTTGGAGTCGGGAGCTTGCTAGTGGATCCTGTTTTTAATTACCATGAGAACGAACTCAACGACCGACTGAAACGGCTGTACCCGGCTGTGAATGAAGAAGAAGCACCTTTACCCCGATCCTGGAGCCCCAAGGATAAATACAGCTACATTGGGCTGTCACAGAACAACCTGCGAGTCCATTACAAAGGTTAGAGCTGGCAGTGTCCTCGCAGGTCTAAACAAGTTGTCCAAGAGCCGTGGGTCGTCTCTGAGTTGGTGCGGAGGGTCTCACACACACATACACTATGCGATTATGTTGTTGTGTGTAGTCCTGGTCAATCTAGTCTGAGCTGCCTCCTGTCCTATTACCTTGCTTTGTTTCTCAAAAGCAGTGGCATGTCAAATTTGGTGACAGTCGACTCCAGAATACATGTACACTATATTAAACATATACAAACTGATGTGACGTTAACGTTCAATAGCGAGTCTTCCCTTTGTTTATGTGACGTTTACTTTGCATTTGTATGCTGGTGAGTAGCATCTGGTGTTGTCTAGTTTTACTGTAATACTGCACTGACATTCTAGCACACACCAACAGTGAGGCGGTGCAGGAAAACATGATTACATTTATCAATAAAGATGTATTAAACGAAACCGCCTTCCAGCAACAATATTAACCTCAGTTAGCCAATGAGCTAACTAGCTCGCGTTAGCTACCTAGTGTTGTTGGTTTTTAAGCTTTGCCACCCTTCCAACTTGTTGTTCTGGTACTAATAAGAATGTTTAAGTCCAATTGATACCACATAGCTTATACACTATTATTACTACATTGTAATAAACGATTGGTCATTTATGAACTGTCTATGAATTTTAATAAAGGTTTGCAGGCTATGTTTGTTTCCTCTTGAGAAGAACAGTTAGTGTAGCTAATCATACAGGCTGTGACCCTAAACGTATCTTAGTCGTTTAATTGATGGATGAAGCTTCAGCGCATTTCAATTGGTCAAATGTTCTCTTCTGGCCTTAAGAGTGCTAAAGTGCTTGTCGTTGATTGGATCAAAATTGTTACTAGTAGCTGCTAACTATTAGGCCCGTTGGGCCTGCTTACTGTCTTGTTTAAGTAGCCAGTTTGAGTTCACCAACATAAAACGACATTTTATTTGACTGATGAACCCGCATCATTAAATGACCTGCCCATGTGCTGTGTTATAGCATTGATATACACTGTATATAATTCTCCCATGCCTTACTGTAGCACCACCACGTCCGTTCATGGGGCTCCTGAAAACACAGGAGGAGAGGACACACGGGCCTGTAACTCATTTGACTTGTGTCCTGCAACATCGTTGTTTGTATTTCAAGTGTTCAGTGTATAGAGTCTAGACTTTATAACTCAAACATGAATTTTAACTGAGATCTTGGGTCTTGGGATGAGGTTCAAATTAGTCTTTAGTATCTTTATTCTCATGTTTCCTATGAGATCCTGTTTCTCTATATGTCTTACTCATATCATTATATCAAAACATAGACCTAATCAGGTCATTGGCTTAGTTGGCATATCATAGGCATGCTAGTTGTATACACACACACACACACACGCACACACACACTGTATACTGTATATATATTAGTGGCTGCAGTAGTTCAGCACAGGGACAGGGACCATCTGCAGATGTTGATGCTGGATGATTTGATCTATTGCACATGTTTTTAGTGCTTCGGAAATCTGGAGCACCCGGAGTAACTCCTACACAGACAGCCACTCAGAAAGTGGAGTTCACCGGGATTCAAACCCAAGACCTTCTTGCTGTGAAGCAAGAGTGTTAACCACCAATATTATGGTTGTCCATTGTATATTTAGGCAAGATTAACACCTTGTTCAGAATAGGTCAAAGGTCAAAAGATTAACTTGAGTAGACAGATAGATAATTTATTGATCCCCGTAAGAGAAATTCAGGTGTCCAGTAGCAGTAAAAATAAAAAAAGATCATTCTAAAAACATAATGATAGTAATAATCAGCAACAGCCCTTTAGGTCACAGCCGCATAGATGGAGTAGCCTCTGGGTGGAGCAGGACGGGTCACAGCAGCACAGATGGAGTAGCCTCTGGGTGGAGCAGGACGGGTCGCAGCAGCAGAGGTGGAGTAGCCTCTAGGTGGAGCAGGACAGGTCGCAGCAGCCCATATTGAGTAGCCTCTGGGTGGAGCAGGACGGGTCGCAGCAGCCCATATTGAGTAGCCTCTGGGTGGAACAGGACGGGTCGCAGCAGCCCATATTGAGTAGCCTCTGGGTGGAGCAGGACGGGTCACAGCAGCAGAGGTGGAGTAGCCTTTGGGTGGAGCAGGACAGGTCAAAAGGTGGAGTACCCGCTTGATTCGGACCCTTTTCTCTGTTCTAGTCCAAAGTAAAATGCTAAATGCTTCATTAGCATTTTTCAAAAAGTTAGCATTCCTCCAGTGGATTTTCACCTGATCCTCTTGGTTCGGACCATGAATCCTCTCCGCTCCGGTCTGGACCAGTGTAAAACCATGAACACTGTACTACAGCAACATCTCAGGAAGAAAAAAGCAAGAAAAATAAAAATTGAATAAGCACAAAACAACAACTGTTTTAGAGCTACTTAGGACTTGCAGCCGTTTCCAGGCGCATCATTCTTGTGTTGGGAGTAATGGGACAACCAAAAAGATTTTACATTTGTAGATGATATGAATCCAGATGTATTCTTAGTATTCTCTAAAATGTGATTTTATATGTGACAATTATACATTAAGAGACAGGGTTTTGCTCTCATAATCTCTTAAATTCATAAAAAAGTCAGTCTAAGCCATTTCCTTACCTTCTCACAAATTCTTAATGATAAACACAATGATTTTGGATAATGTACTCTTTCTTCATCTTTAAGATACCGATGGCCACATTAGCACTACCAGATTATCAGGTAATAAAACACACAATAGTCGTCTGCACTGGAATTAAGGTTAGGGTTGGAACTTTTTCTTGTTTTCGTTATAGAATTGTATTTGAGTTGGAGGGCAGGTGTCAATACAACTTTATGGGAAAGAAATTTCGGAATGTAAAAAGTTGTATTTATTTATTTTATTTGATAGTAGGGGCGACAGTGGCTCAGTTGGTAGAGCATTGGTCTTTGAGCCTAAAGTTTGTGGGTTTGAGCCCAACACAAGACCTTCTCCACCAACTTCACTGATGTCTGCTGCCCTTGTGTCCTTGGGCAAGACACTTTACCTAAAGCCCCTGCTGAAAGATCAAGGCTATGCTCTCATCGACAAAGCAGCCATCCTCCTGTGGACTCACCACCTGCAGGAGGATCAGTGAGGGGCTGGTGCTCTGTGCAGCTCAGTGCCACCCCCTGACCCAGAAATAGATTAAGGGGAAGAAGATGGATAGATTGAATATTTTATAGTTATTTACAAATCCGCAATAATAAAAGTCTTTCTACTCGTTAAGCTAAGGTGGGAACTTGGTTTCATGTGGATTTGCAAGAATAACACATACATTGACAGTTGTCATAAAATAATTTTCAACTGCCCTCCTCCACAGTTCTTTTTGAAATATTGTGATGTCATCTGAACGCAACCTGGGTAACACTTCTCCTTTGTTGTAAAGACGCTTGCGTGCTGACTTATCTTGAGGAGTTTCTAAAATCAAATGCATACACTCAGTATGTTTAATGGGTCAGACCGTTTGCCAACATTCATAGATTTCAATTACCACCACCAAGGAGTTTTTCCCAATTTTCCCAACATCCAAATCCAGGCCCTGGTTTGCTTAGCAGTTTTTGCCAGATCAAATAATGTTTTTTTTCTTTGTTTTTTTAAACATAGAAGTGTTTGTTTAGATTTCATGCTGGATCATTATCGAAAAATTCAAAACCGGAAACCATAATCATGAGGTTGTATGGTTGATGCCTACAAACATAAACCGTCCTTCTCCTGCATGTATCCAGATGGCTCCACATTAATGGCCAAAGTCCTCTCTATTCCTTGCCTACACACCAACAGGAGCAGCAGTGCTAAGGTGTCTGCTAACAGCCAGCTGCACCAGTTAAGGTTACACACAATCTTCATTGCACACACAAATGGGGCTGTCTTTTTATGCATGCAGCCGGGCGAACCCTCAGCAACTCAATCTTGTGATTACATGTCACAAACTGAGATGCACATGTATAGTGTCAAAGCCTGATAGAGGTTATACAACGCTTGGCTGAGCACCCCCCTCTCTCTGTAACCCTAGGGATTGCATAAGCAGCCATTTGAATTTAAAATGACAGACTGTAAAGATGGTTATGCTTCAGTCTAATTAGACCAATAAGACACAATAAAGTCCCCTGTGTGACTTTTGTGTGTTTTTTCTACGTGATATCAGCTGTAATGACGTTATCATAGTTTCCACTCATTACCCTCTTTCTTATTCACCTAGTAAACATTGATTTGAGAATGATTCATCCATGGTTGAGTAATTTATTATATTCTCCTGAATCCAAAACCTATAGTTTGACCAAGCAACATTTTGCATTACCACCCCTGTCACATTTGATATTAAAATCATATGCATGCACACTTTTACAGTAATGAAGGATAATCTTACCATAATTGCACATTTGGTAGATTATTTCAAAATCAGATACATTTTAGGTGCTGAATTTACTTTTGAAAATGTAAAAGCTGTCAGAAATCAAGTTCAGGAGAATGTGAGTTTCTTCTTGAGTTCCACCTCCTAATTTAGCCAAGTCATGGAACCCAAGTGCAAACAAGATCGGTGTCCCCCAAAAAATTAGGCGTTTTCAGAGAAGGCACATATCTACGTTTTGAATGCGCTGGAAACAGCAGCAAGTCCTAAGTATCTCTGAAAAAGTTGTTGTTTTATGCTTTACAATTGTTATTCTTTTCTTGCTTTTTTCTACCTGAGATGTTGCTGCAGTACAGTGTTCATAGTTTTGCACTGGTCCAGACCAGAGCAGTGAGGATTCATGGTCCAAACCAAGCAGATCATGCAAAGATCACAGGAAGATTGCTAACCCTTTGAAGTATGCAAATAAAGCATTCTGCATTTTACTTTAGACCAGAGCAGAGAAAATGGTGCAAACCAAGCAGCTACCCCTGTCTCTGCTGCTGTGACCCGTCCTGCTCCACCCAGTGGATGGTCCATCTCTGCTGCTGTGATCTGAAGTGCTGATGCATTTTTTTTATTACTATTGTTAGCTTTTTAGAATGATCAATTTATTTGTTTTGTTTGTGTGGATGGATATGTTGTTTCTCCTACGGGGGATCGATTAAGTATCTATCTATCTATAAGTACATTATTTTTTCCATTGAAATAAAACATGTTTTTGAGATTTCATTAAACTGTAGTTTCTCAGTGACTTTGATTAAAACGCCTCACCACTGCTCTTGTTGCAGGTCACGGGAAGAACCATAAGGATGCAGCGTCAGTTCGTGCTACACACCCCATTCCAGCAGCCTGTGGGATTTATTACTTTGAAGTGAAGATTGTCAGCAAAGGTCGAGATGGGTAAGATATTAGTACCAACAATCAGGTGCAAACATTTATTGTATATGCCAGGAACACAGAAGAGAGGGATGTTAAACTGATACAAAAAATGTATTTGCTGATATATCGCAATATTTTACTGCACAATTCTCATATCAATTATGATTAAAAAAAATTCCCCCACTGTGTACATTACAGAACAGTGGGAATAAAAAAAACAGTCAAACAAGATAATTATAACTATTGTATGTCAAATGTATATATATTTGACACATTTATTTAATATTTGGCGATAAATGTCAATGCAGAGTCTTACTGCACTTACACTGTAGCATTATGCAAGTTTATGCAGATTGTTTGTTATTAGTTATTTCCAAAGTCATGTCAAAAAGGTTTCGTCCAAGGCAATACCCAACCCTACTATCTTCCCTGAAATAATTCAGACAATATTGGTGCCATCACATCCTCCAACATGAACCTTAATTTGCCCTAAACAAACACAGAATAAGTGAACCTGAGTTCGCATAGTTTGGTGAGGCTCAGTAAAATCTACAGAGCAGGGTTTGGGTTCACTCTTTACATGTTACGTTGTTTGGACTCATAACATCTAATAAATCCTCATTTAAAGTAGGAAACATATTTGTTCATAAATAAAGCTAAGATCAGTAGAAACACATGCGATGTCCATGCTCTACAAGGCCTTACAGTTTACTGCTGCAAGAGGAAACCTAAAACAAGAGTGCGCTTGATGTCCGAGTGAAAACTGGTAATCTAAAGTTTGTGTTATTGTGTAGCTGCTCAATAATTGCTGCAGGGGCAGATATAAAGACTTCAGACTTCAATAAAGGGCCACATCCTTGCACAAAATGTTGACAGTTTCCACAGAGACCAAACAGACATGCCCCCCAAAGTATTGACACATATTCAAAACTTACCGTTAGTTATGGATGAACCAGGCCGCAAAGCCGTTTTTGAGACATGGAAAGTCGCCAAAGGGTTTAACAGTGTATTTCCGTTTCCGGAGCAGAGTGATGGTAATCCACCTCCTTATAGCCATTATTGGAGTGACGTTGAAATGTATTTTGAGAACCGCCTACTGTGCTATTTTGTGCCCTTGGTGTTTTGCTCCACCATAGAATCAGACTTGAATAATGAGGTGTCTCACTGTCCATACTTAAACAGAAATGTAGTTCTGATGTGATGACACGGTTCTAGCCCTTAACAAACCTTTTTTACTTGTTGGAAATGCAAGATCTTTGCCCATAAATATTTATTCGGGTTCTGTTTATCGTTTGCAGGTACATGGGCATAGGTCTGTCTGCACAAGGGGTCAACATGAACAGATTACCTGGTGAGTAACATGGAAAACCGTATGAAAAGGATGAAACCGAGATGTGGTTTAATGGAATTTGAGGTGGGGTCATGTGAGGACATCTTCAGGAGCTCTGGACACAGTGGTGCCTCTGGAAAAGGTGTTGCTATAGGGTTGTAATTAATGATCATTTTATTATCAACTTTCAATTAATCAATTAGTTGTTTGGATCCAGAAAGGTCAGAGAACATGACAAAGCTCATGTGATGGGACTGGAACATCTTCATAGAGATGACATTTGGTTGTTTGATTAAAAACACTAATGTATACTGTAAACACTTTTTTAATTGAATTCTACCGTTCTTATAGAATTATCAGAGTCAAAAAACAAAATGGCACGTTTTGAGTTTGCGAAAAGGCATGTGGGAGACTCCCAAAATGTATGGAGGATGGTGCTCTGGTCTGATGAGACTAAAATTGAACTTTTCGGCCATCAAGGAAAACGCTATGTCTGGCGCAAAACCAACACATCATATCACCCAAAGAACACCATCCTCACAGTGAAACATGGTGGTGGCAGCATCATGCTGTGGGGATGTTTTTCATCAGCTCCGGATGAAACGGAAGAAAATGAATGGATGGATGAGTTGTAATACAGTATGTAACGGTAAACGAACATAAACGTTGAATAATATCCGCCCAAAGTAGCAACCAGGGGGCAACTAGAAACAACACTCACTCAGCACTTTTTTGTTCATTCTGTCATAATAATTGATCGCGCTTGTATATGTCACTCGTGATATGATTTTCACAGTTGGTCATTTTAGGTAATACAGATGGTGTAAGATGTATTCTTCGTGATTCAGTGTGTTTTTTTGGTGATGTTTCTTGTGTGAGGTAGAAGTAGAGAACATGTCGGGGCATGTAGCTCATATGGAGCAATGACACATTGTGAGCTGACCTCCTACTAATCTCCCTCAAACCAGCGCTTCTCATTGAAATTATTTTTGGACCATAAGACTTGGATTATGCAATGACTTAAAACGTTATGCATGTCCGATTACGGTTACCCTATATTTTTTGTTCTTATTTTAATTCAAATGAGGAATTTTACATAAAAGCTGCAGAAATTATTTTTTTTCTAATTGGCAATTGGATTCAATATTGTGAACCACCTGATAACTATAGATTTTTCAGACATATCTTTATTTCTGTTGTGTCTGACGACTGTGCAGTTTGCTCTGGGTGGTGATGAAATCAGGAGAAGCGATGGTGTCACAATGTCCCACAGGCGACTAAAGCCTGGGTCTTTCCCCACACAATCAGTCCCCTCTTCTGGTTGGGACACACTAATCTGGGCCTTCTAGCTCTGTCCATCCTGATCGGACTGGCTTCAATGACCTGTCAAGATCAGTCCTGAGCACCGGGCAAGCGTATCGGACTCAATACACACATGTGTGTGTTTACAAAGTAAAATTACGTACAACTTAAAGTAGCAATATGTAAGATTTTCATGTGACGTCATCATTAAATGACCCTAATATGTCAAAAGGCATTAATAAACCATGCTCTTTTCCAATACTTCTTTAACTGATAACTATAGTTCAGCCGAGATATTTGAATTTCAAAATTAGTTTTACAGCCAGTGAATCTTGTTATTGTTTTCATTTCAATGTTCCGCCCTCCGACATTTCACCACTCAGAAAGTTTGTGATCCGGGTTGCCAGAACTCCCCGCAGCTTGCTGATCTCAATGTTAAAGTAACATGTCAGATCGGAACGTCAAGATTATTTTACAGCACATTTCAAAAAACAGACATGACTGTCACAAAGTGCTTTGCAAACATTTCAAAAAACAACACAACACACAAATAAATACAGCACAACATTAAATACTGGTCCACTATGATAAAAGTTTTATTTTAGCTTGAGTTAAAAAACCAGAGCAAAGTCAGTACTAAAAACTGTCTTGTTATAATTCTCAAATCATTAATGACAAAACAAGGAATAAAACAAGGATGTCTATCGGGATGCCTTTGAAAAATGGAGACAATAGAAGGCGGATAAAAACTCTTTGTCTGATGCAAAACTTAAAATAATGATAATACATGTATGTCTAAAAAATAGGGAATGAAAACATGGAGGGGGGGTTTCCCATCTGTAGGAAACCCTGATGCTGATACGCTGATGAAATATGTTCCAACATTAGCACGGCTATCATGGCAATGTGAAACGTATGGAGACAGTCAAACAACTCAATATAATAATTCCTTGTGTTTGTGTTCCTTTGTGGGCTCCATAGTGATATTGTACGGAGACATGACGTATTTCAACCTAAAATAGCCTAATTTCTGTGAAAACAGTGTTGGTCATAGAATTGTTGTTGACAAAACTAAAAAATACAGGTTAATTGACATTTAAAACAGTTTTTCAAATGTCATGAATACTGACTGTCGATTGAGTTGTTACATATTGACTAGATTAGCAAATAACTCTACAAATGTGTATATTGTGATATGTTTTTTAGTCCACTGTTTTTGCCTTGAGATGTTGTTCCTTCACCTAAATGTTGTGAAAACAAAATAATGTGAGAGGATAACAAATACTTATGATAGCTGATTTTAGCTCGTTGTGTGCCATGTGATAGTTTTTAATGAAGTTTGGAATGCGCATGTTCTAAAAGGTTGAGGAACCATTTTTTTGTCATTTCAGAGAGTGAAAAAGTTTACCAACATTAAATATATATATATATTCACTATGTGTAATGAAGAACATATACAAAATAACAATTTTACTCCCCGAAATAACTGAGATTTACTCATTCACAATATTTAAATGTCTGTAATGTTTGTTTGAATAAGTTTTTCCATGGGTGGGTCTAACGCATGTGTAAATAGTAACTGACATTCCCCTTAATGTTAATGTAAATAGATGATTTGAAACATCTCTTAACACACCAGTGGTTTGGTTATTTATTTTTTGATTAGCACTAGACTGGTCTGACTGACACGGGAGAAACATACATAAACAATTATAAATAATGTTATTTTAATGAAATGGTGATTTTGTTATGCTTTATCAAAATCTATTATTTGGCTGTGATGTAAAGTGACACTGCCTTTTTCTCTTCTCAAATGTTGAACATGGGATGGAACAGCTCTGAGTCCTTTCTGAACTGTCCGGCACCACTGGTCTTCCCTCTGTAAACCTGTAGTGTGTGGTTGGTCTGATGAAATAAGAGCAGAGTTGGACAAGACTTCTTTGTTCTGATTTCCTGTTTCTGCTTTGTTGAAGTCAAGCATATTATTTTGATGTTAGTGGTATTTAGCTAGTGACAAAATGTCTCCTGTCTTCTGCTTTTACACACACTAATTTATCTGTTATCTGTATTACTGCGGTGAGATTGTTGTGAGATCCAGATTGTGATTCCAGTTCCCATATTCTATCATTGTACTTGGGCAAGACAAAGCGGTGTGAGCCAATAAATAACATTTATGGTGCATGTTTTGAATCAATGGATCAAACCAGAGCGGCCAGAGTCATCACACACGGGCGAAACAGTCAAACGGCACACAGAAACAAACCTTCTCAGCCACTGTGCCTTTTATTTAGTTATCAAATTTCACAATTTTTTATTTGATTAGAAGAAGTATTTTTATGCACATTTTTTGCAACTTATTTTACAGGGTTTTAATTTTAGGCAAAAGGGTTGATATCAGTGGGGGCGGGTCCCGGCTCAAAAAGGTCCATGAGCACGTGCGCTGACATGCTTTCAATACCAGTCCTAGCCCGAGAGGGTGGACCTAGAAAGATAAATATCCAATGCTTTTGTTTGGCGTCTCCTTACCTCTCGAAAACGGCTTTACAGAATTTTACATTTAAAAACTGCCCACAAAAGGCGACAGTGGTGGCATATTAGTTTGAACAGTGGAGATAGGTGTGACTACGTATGTTATTATCTAAAGAAACAATTTCGAATCACCAGCAACATATTCAAATCAAATTTCAAACATTTTCAGATTTATGGGGACACTTTTGACGAAAACATTGCCATTTTGTTAAATCATGTGTTAAATTATTATTTCACAGGCTTAATTAATGTAGAAGATCATCATAGTTGTTTATTTTTGTTATTATTTTTTATTATGAAAAGCTTGGTCACACGGGAGGAGCTCAGAGTAAAGCCACTGCTCCTCTACAGGTGGTTGTTTGGGATGCCACCCATTGAGGTGTTCAGAGAATGTCCCACCGGGAGGAGACCCAGACATTGGAGAAATGTGTTTCTCAACTTGGAATTCCCCTGGATGAGCTGAAGGTGCGTGGAGAGGGAAGTCTAGGCATCTCTGCTCAAACTGCTGCCTCCATGACCCACAACAGATGTTTTTATATTTCATAACAAATTCATGACTATTCTGATTTAGACGTCATAATCGGTTGGACATTGTTAGTAGCCGCACTCCTCTTCATGTTTATTTATGTGCGCTTTCTTAATATTAGCGCATTGTCCACTCTTGCCCTCTGTGTCTGATCCTGCTGTGTGGAGTCCTGCCCATTTCATTAGCATGTTGGAGCAGTGAGTCGGGCTTTAGAGGCAATATCCCTGTCGGCAGATTAATCTAATACCACTGCACACACACACACACACACACACACACACACACACCATGGTCTGTACACACTCAAGGCAACACAAGATAAACGTGGGACTATGGACCAATGGTAAAAAGAAAGAAACGGGCAAAATTGAGTTTATATTGGAAGTGAGAAGTGACTGAGTGGGCTTTGTTTACAAACACCCACATTTTCTAGAGAGCTTGTCAACCATTTCGTCACAGCGACCTACTTTCACCAACCCTGCTTTGCGTAGTTTTTGGCATTGACAAATTTGAGAGAGAGTAGCTCGGTCACAATAATTACTACTATGTATCGATTTATCTTTTAGTAATGGATGGACTCATGTATTATGGAGCTAAATATTTATTGTCTGTATTATTTATGGAACTCTGAACAATTGTAAAGCCCTTTGGGTGACCTTGGTCTGTAAAATGTGCTATATAAATAAACTTTACTTACATTTTTGCAATACAATACAATTTGAGCCAAATAAGTTATGGCTTATTATTGCTTAATTCGGATGTTTATTTGTTTCTTGTGACTTTTAATGATAAAAGTAAAAATGGTTCATGGGGATTCTCCTGATGGATTGTCGTTGCATCAGTGGCACAACATCACTTCAATTATATTGTTTATTGCAATACATCTTTATTTCAAAATATATCGTTCATCCAATTGTTTTATTGTGACAATGTATGTCTGTGATCATACTTTCTTAGTTACAATGACAATGTCGTGAGACTCGTGATCATGTATAAGCTCCACAATACATTTTCTGTTCCAAGTGAAACAGGGATTAAATAACGATATGAGATTGGTTATTAGTGAGTCACTGGACAGTATAATTAAACTAGGGTTTGATCAGCCGCAGATCACAGCCAAAAACATGTGATCGGGGGATGTAAAACATGCAAGATCACATTTGTACTTTTTATAATAAAGTATACAAAAATAAATAAAAAAACAAATGTTTGGTTTATTGTAGATGGGTAAACATATATACACAAAAAGTACATTGGTGTGCAAGATACTGGATTGTAACATGAAACCTCAGTCATAAAGTATTTTATTTATCACTGTGTGCTCAGCACAGCTAAAACATGAGCTCCGCCTGCAGCACTCCTCACTCAGGCAGGAGATAAAGTGCTGTGGGGATATGTCGCTAAAAGACAAACATGACTTACCCCTTTCTCAAGTGTTTGTTAAATCCACACAGACTTTCTAATGCATCCCATAGAACAGTGTGACCTTTTGTGCTCTGGCATTGATGACGTTACACTAGGAAAGTCTTACAGACTTTGTTGATGCATATTCTTCTGACTAGCAGATCTTTTTAAAGCTATCCCTTTCTGATAGTTTTGAGGGTGTGATAATGGCTGAGGTACTGCATGTATCGGGCAAGCTGACTCACCTCTTTCCTAAGAAGTTTTGATGCCTCCTGCTGGCCTATCAGGGAATAACATCTAGAATTACTTTGTCACACAAGCACTGCTTGGTGTAACCTAATTAAAAGTAATTAGTTACTGTAATTAGATTACTAAGTAGTATAACACATGTCATTACATTTGTTACAATGCAAGCTCTGACATGGAGCATTTTGAATGTGGAAAAACTGCAGACTGAGACACTTCAGGAATCAGCAACACATTTTAGTCAAGCACAAAAGCCCATCTATTACTAGTTCATATTATGTTACAACTAAAGTAGTCAAATAGTAATGTAGCAACGTTCTTATCTTGGGCCCTTACTCAACACTGAGCATAAAATGCCACATCAGCACCCTACAGACACATCCATCCACACACATGTAGATGAAACCATGACAACATCAGGGTGAGTGGAAGTGAAACCAGCCCAGAGCCGCCTGCACCAGGAGCAGGGAGTCGACCTCAGGACCCAGAGGAGACGTCCAGGCTCCAAATCTCCACAAGGTCCAAGAGCCAGAATCCTAAAGCCACAGCCGACCACTACTCCCAGTGCAGAGGGCCACTCCAGAGGAAATACTGGAGATACTAGAACAGTAAAATAAGTTTTAGTTAGTTTTTTTGAAAAACATGAACAATAATACAAGTAATACATGACTACGTTAATCTAAGTAAACACTAAAATATATAGATAAAAACTAAACAATAGATAATAACTCAAAGTTCAAATGAAAGATAAAGCTAATGTTTTTCTTCTCTTAGGTTGGGACAAACACTCTTATGGTTACCACGGAGATGACGGGCACTCCTTTTGCTCCTCTGGGACAGGGCAGCCGTACGGGCCCACGTTCACCACGGGGGATGTGATCGGCTGCTGCGTGAACCTAATCAATAACACATGCTTTTACACCAAAAACGGCATCAGCTTAGGTTTGTTACCGCTGATTTTCATAATTCAGAAGTGACATAACTAATATTTGATCATTTGTATTTTGTCTCGCAGGTGTAGCCTTCACAGACCTCCCCGTGAGTATTGTTTGACACTGAAAACATTTTGAGAGTCAATTCTAGTAGGGCACAATAACTGCCCGTTTCGACTCGCCTTTTCACTTGTCAAGGCCTGTTGCATTATCGTTTTTGACTAATAAGTACATTATGTCTACTCTACCAAATAAATATTCCACTTATTCATGTATATTTGTAGTATGAGGATTTATCAGCACAGCAGATGAAGAGTGAAGACATATATTTTGAGAGTAAATTAAGTTGTGTCTTTATTTTATATTAAGTGAAGAAGTTTTTATAAATATTACAGACAGAAGCACCATCACAAACAGGAGCATCCATCCATAGAAAAAAACAACACATTAGAAGATTATATAGCATAATAGGAGGTACAAAATTTAAAAATACATAAACCAATCAGCCTGAAACTATTTACAGTTTTATTTTTTATTTTTCTGTCGATTATTGTTTTTTATGTGACATCCGGGTGAATTCAGAAGTTTTGTTTTATGAAGAGAAAAAAATTACATTTAATAAATGCTTCTCTTCAGGAATGATGTAAATTTAGACTGACACGTTGATTGGTATCGTAAGTTACTGAGACCTGCCACGCTTATGTCATGTACCACTGCATTTCTTTGAGTTGTTTTTTTTTGTCGTGAGGATTTTGGCACTTTGCAAACCTCCGTGGTCACTGTAGCAGGGACATTTCGCAGAACAACCTCTTTTACCAGCCAACACTATGTCAAGAATAGAACAGGGACAGCAAATCACAGTTGGCCTCCCGCCACCAAGGCTGCACCAACAGATGGAGTTACCAGCTGCTGTTAAAACATAACCAACATTTAACCAAGTGCTCATTTCTGTTGTGCATGAGTCCTTCATAATTATGAACCTGACCGCATGTGCTTACAAGAGCTTGTAAAGAGCAGCTGATTAACATGAGCTCTGCTTCAGTACACTGGCACCTTAACCAAAGGGAAACTGAAGTGAACTCTCTCAAAGTTCACTCTGAAAGGATTTGGACAGATTGGATGAGAATGAGTGGTGTATGGGGTTGATTTTTAAATTATGAAAACCTTCTGCTATTCATCAAGGATTACTTGACCAATTGACCAGATGATATTTTGTTTAGTGAATCATTCAAGTAACCGAAAACATGTTTTTTTTTTTGTGAATTGGGTCAATCTTAGCAGGGTACCATCCGTTCTAGAACTCTGCTCTACTCCCTGTACATGTCAAGATTTTCCTACTTTTTTTTCCAAACTGGCTTGCATTCATGAATTATATTTCAGCTGAAAGGCAGGTGCCAATAAAAAGAAATGTTTTCCTCTATCAAATCATTATTTGATAGAGTTTGCATTCACAAACCAGCCATAGCATTCTACAATGAAGGTGTGGAACTTTGTCCCAGGCATTAGAGAGAAGTTAGCCATTTAAATATTACAAGAAGGATTTTCAGCTGCTCTCCACCACAAGTTTAAGCTATGGGCTCTATGCACGCACCACTTTTGCATTTTAGTTAAAACCCCACTTGAATTCCGGTGTGCATGGATCGGCTTGAGTTTCGCTGGAGTTCAGCAGATGTTTACACGAGTTTCCTAAATAAAGCTGAAACAAGAATTAAACTGTGAGGATACTGGGCATTTTTGGGACACAGCAATGCTCTTTGATTGTGCTGTCATTGTGCTTTTAAAAGTGAACTAATCTCTGAGTGGCCACAGTCAAAGCTATTCCTCAGAGAGAAAGCACGTCAACACTTTTGGGTCAGTCTCACAGCTCAATGTATCAATCTAATTACTAAAAAACGTCACTACAACTTACTACAAAGCCATAGCATAGACAGGAAGTAAACGAGCAGTTCTTTGTTTACAGATAGCCCATTGGCTCTTTTGAATGTTGTGATGTCACATTAATGCAACCTATTGGTGTAAAACTATATTTTTATTATACAATTATATTTACTACCTCTGTGTAGCTGTACATCAACCTTGACTTGTTTTGAATAATGTGTATATTTCTGAGCCAACAACCTTTTGCCTTTAGCTGTCTGAATAATTCTACATCATTCATTTTTTTCTCCAGCCGACATTGTACCCCACTGTGGGCCTGCAGACTCCCGGTGAGATTGTAGATGCTAACTTTGGCCAACAGCCTTTTGTCTTTGACATTGAGGACTACATGAGTGAGTGGAGGGCTAAGATCCACGGCATGATCGCTCGCTTTCCCATTGAAGAGCGACTAGGAGAGTGGCAAGGGGTTCTGCAAAAGTAAGGACATGGTCACTATACCCGAAACAAGCAAATCAACAGCACGCTCACTTTAATCTTGTTTCCTTTGTTTGCATGCAGTATGGTGTCTAGTTATCTGGTGCATCATGGGTATTATGCCACCGCAACCGCCTTCGCCAGAGCCACACAGACCACGATACAAGAGGACCAGTCATCAATAAAAAACAGACAAAGTGAGCTACGAGCCACACACTGCATAATTACTCTCTCTGTATTGACCAAATGATCCACATTTGAGTTATAATTGTTGCTTTAGTGTTGAAGCCCGATTGCCCTTATTACACTGTCTGTTGTTACAGGAATACAGAAGCTGGTGCTGGCAGGTCGTGTGGGTGAAGCCATAGAAGACACTCAGCAGCTGTACCCAGGGCTGTTGGATCACAACCCCAACCTTCTTTTCATGTTGAAGTAAGACCATCGACGGTATATGCAAGAAAAATATACTGTCTTTGAACCATTTAATAACTTTTGCCTTGTGAGATTTGAAACGGTGACACAGAGCACAGACTTAAGGATAATCTGAAACGGTATTTTGTCTCAGCCTAAGAGACCATCCGCTTTACTCCTGATTCTTGTAATAAGGACCCAGCAACATGCAAATTCAACAAATACACCTACTACTCTCCATTTACTTTATTCTCATTTTAAATACATTAGGAACATTATTACATTTAGCAGCACATATTTAAAAGGGTTTTTCATTTCTCTCGGAAAAAAACCAGGACAAACATTGTCTCAATTGTATAGGACAAAGAAGAATAAGGAAGGAGGTATAAAAAATAATTTGTTTGCAGCCCATGAACAGCCCTAGTTTCACACTCATAAAGTGCTAATTTACAGGAGTGAATGTCTGCAGCAGACTCATGTCAGTTGGACATCGTGCGCAGTGGTAACAGATCATCCACGGACGTTTCATTCAGACACAAAACTACTACAAGTGTTTTTGAGGCACGTGCTCTGGACTTCAGGACACTGTTTGTTCAGCGCTGTCTTGATAGAACATTATTTTGTCCTTTGTTTATGTTTGCTCCGTAAACATAACCGTATTTTTTTGATTATAAATTTCAGTTTTTGTCATAGTTTGGCTGGGGGTGCGACTTATACTCTGGAGCGACTTATGTATGAAATTTTTAAATTTTATATTATAAATGTAATATATTATTTATCGTAAAATATGAAATATTAGCCCGGGCTATCAAGTCGAGCGATTAAGCTATTAAGATGAGCAATAGAGCGATTTTTCAGTGTTCTATTTGTATTAGCAAATGTATTTTGGTCATCAAAACCCACAAAATGTGACTTTTACTCTAGTGCAAGAACGATTTATAATCCAAAAAACACGGTTCGTCTAGTTTCAACAGTGTAGTTTTTTGGGCACAGTACATACGCGCCTGGATAATTTCCTATTACAACCTTGTATTGGTTGGTAGTTATGTTTTTTGTCCTGTAGCAGTTTACTATATTGAAACGCAGCGCACCTGCATTGAAAATGAAACCCTGGTTAAACCGGTGGTTGAACAGGTCCGCAAGCTGTTTCTAAAGTGAGTATAGTTTTTTTCTGGCATTTCTTATCTTCTTGCAATTTGTTTTTTTTGTCACCATGTTCCAATTTCACATCTGCCACTAATTCTCCATTGTGAGATCATTAAAGTTTATCTTATGGCAGCGCAGTCTTGTGCAGAGGTTTTGTCTCTGATGTGACAGAGTCAATCTGTTAGAACAAAACGCCTGAAGCAAGATTAGTTAGTCGAGCCACGCCTTTCCAAACTTGTCGGACTAGTAGAAATCCTGTAGCCTGTGAAATTGATTCTTCCATTAGTTGCTAATGCTTTCAATTATGGCTAACATTTTGCTTTCTCTCCCAGGTGTCGTCAGTTTGTAGAAATGGTCAACGGTACAGACAGTGAAGTCCGGCGCTTGACCGTCCGCTCTCCCAAGTCGCAGGACAGTTACCCGGGGTCTCCAAACCTCAGTCCTTGTCGTGGACCAAACAGCACACCCCAGCACACTAGAGGTACAGCTAGAACCCTCACACTCATACGTATGTAGTGTTTTCAACAACAATTGCCAACATTTCTTTCTCTGGCAGGAACAGACAGTCCCACCTGCAGTAACGGAGTGACCCCTCCCAACAAGGCAAAGCTTCAAGGGACTGTGGGCAGTAGCAGGTTTCCCAGTGCATCCTCCTCAGCCTCTTCCTCCACCTCCTCTTCTCCTTCATCCGTCAACTATTCAGAGTCCAACTCCTCAGATTCTACCAAAAGCCAACCACATAGCAACCAAGAAACAAGGTAAACCCCCAACTAAAAAAGAGCAATAGATCTTTCAAATCCCCCTAAAATGCTATACGTGTCCACACATCATGATTGCGAAGAGAGGTAGTGCTTTTTGTTGTGTAAATACTGTATAATTGTTTTTTAATAATTTTAATGTTGAATTTCTTCATGTCTTGCTACATCTTGTGCAACTAGATTTGGATTTTGGTATTGGGATTGGTGAACCCTGCAGCTTAACTCTTTCGCCTGTGCATCACTCACGTTTTGGATAAGAATTAGTTTTTGTGTGTAGGAAACTGTATTTTGTTGTTGACTGACAAACGAAGGAATTAATAAGCTAAACTGAAATGGCAAAAAACCAAATAAAACAAGGTGAATCCCCATAGATTGACGTTGAATACACAGATGGATGATTATTGTCTCTGTGTATTTGTAGTGACAGTGAAATGGAGATAGAAGCGGAGCATTACACCAATGGAGTTGTCGAGGGCTCAACCACTCGGATCATGAACGGCACCTACAAACACGAAGAGATCCTTCAACCAGACGACAACAGCATCGGCAACGGGATGACAGGTTTACACCCTTTAGTTTTTGTTACTACATTCAATATTCTTATAATAGTGTGCATGATTATGTGGCCATACTTGCATGCGAAAGCCAACGCCAAAGGTCAAATCCTCCAGGTCCGGTAGTCCTGACCAAGCCGAGCATCAACATCTTGAGACGTGCCGAGTGGCATTAGGAGAGTCAAATGCAGAGGCCAAATTTCTCTATGGGGACAACTGTACCATAATGAGATCAAAAGGTTAAGGAAGAACTAGGGCAGAGGTATTTCTGCTGGATTCGGATGGAGGGTTTATTCTATAAGAAGAAGAAAAAACCTAGATAGATAGATTTAGAGAATGTAGAAATTGCTTTTAACATCTCAATTGAAAGAAATATCTATTTAAGTATAATGAAAGTATACTGGATGTCTCATTTACACATTACTTCTTTACCTACATTTTTAAATAACACTTTTACTTCAAGTGTGTCATAAATATACTTCATACATAGTACTTTTGGGACAGTATGGATGTTAATATATCATTCAATAGAATACAAATCACAATATCATCGTGTGGTTCGCTGGAGCCACAGTCAGGGACAAACAGAGACTACAGCGCATTGTGCGCTCTGCAGAGGAAGTGATCGGCCGCAGCCTTCCATCGCTGCAGGACCTGTACGTCGCCCGAGCTCGAGGCCGGACTGGTCGTATCACAGCCGACCCCTCTCACCCTGCACATGGACTATTCCAACCACTCCCCTCAGGCAGGAGGCTGCGGTCCATCAGGACTAGAACCTCCCGCCACAAGAACAGTTTCTTCCCCTCTGCTGTTGGACTCTTGAACACTTCTTAACCTGTCCCCCCGCCCTTTATAAAGTCACTTTACTGCCCATCATACGTCACTTTACGTTACTTTTTCCTTAGAAGTGTTTTTTATTCTTTATTCTTATTATCTCTTTCTGACTGTTGCACTGTGCCAAAGCAATTTCCAAGTCTGTGACTTCCTGTTACTTACGTGGCAATAAAAATGATTCTGATCCTGAACATCACACTGTAAATAGAATATAAAAGTATATAGAATTGGTAACAATATAAATCATTGTCATAAATCATCATATCAATAATTTATTAATAAGCTAAAACGTATATGTCTCTAAAGTGTGTTTACATATCGCTGGCCATGAACGTTTAACCTGCGAGGAGAAAGAAAGAGCACATCCTCTCCATTATATTATTATTTAAGATTGTAGATCTGCTGTGTGCACTCCATAAGAGTGTGCAGGGACCAAACATCACGTCTGTGTTTCTCTGTGTGTGTGAACTGTGTCCTGCAGACGAAGAGTGCTGTAACGGCAGACAGCTGTGCGCTGGGAACCAAGCGGCCACTGAGAGGATGATCCAGTTTGGACGGGAGCTGCAGGCGCTCAGTGAACAGTTGTGTCGAGAATATGGAAAGAACAACACGCACAAAAAGATGTTACAGGTATGAATGACGTCAAATTTATCAAATGTTTTTGACTATAAATTAGGGCCTCATTTTTCAATGTTTGGGGAAAAAACAGGACATTTTCAACCATTCTGGTTGTCAGATGAATGCTATTGAAGTCAGGTCAGAATACTTTAGTGTATATTCCAGCTGGGAATAAAGCTTTTAATGCATTTATTATTTCTGGTACAAGTTTGAGTGACACAGGCTCAGGCTTCTTTAAAACTTACAAGCTGTTAGTGTTGATTGTATTTTCTGTGAAGGATGCTTTTAGCCTGCTTGCATACTCCGACCCATGGAACTGCCCCGTTGGACAGCAGTTGGACCCCACACAGAGAGAGGCACTCTGCTCTGCACTCAACAGCGCCATACTGGGTAAACACACTCAATAATAGAAGCTTTGGGATATTTTAGTCTGCACCACTTTGTCAAGAAAACAAGTGAAGATAGAGTGATTGAAAATATTTCACAGCTAGTATGACATAACAGGATAGAACCTAGAATGAAGGCGGAAAATCAAAGTGTATGTTAAATGCCTTTGTACAAGATGCCACATCAGTCTGTGTTTGTGTTGTGTATAGACTCCCAGAATCTGCCGAAGCAGCCGCCGTTGATGTTAGCCCTCGGTCAGGCCACAGAGTGTGTGGAGCTCATGGCCAGAGTACGATCTGGATCCTGCTCCTTTGCCAGAGTTGAAAACTTTTTGCACTAGCCTACATCCAGGTGAGACACATTAAAAAAAAATATATATATATATATATATATATATATACTTATTAACTGTATTAATTACTTTCATACTTGCACAGTCATTTTGGCTAGGAAATTTCGGAGGACTGAATGAGGAAATTGTTTTATAATTAGATTTTGTATAAACCATACATTTTATAATGAGCCATAGGGGTCATAGATTAATAGAGAGAGAGGGGGGGGGGGGACAGAATTGTGTTATGTCCCCTTGATAAACATATAGTTTGTAAGTAATCCCACTTTGAGAAATGTGACATTCTCAAATTTCTCAACGTTATGTCATACATTGTTGTATCTTTCCACAGGGTGATGTGAAGTAGCACTGAGAGATGGCATGTTCGGCAGGTGGTTCTCATGGCGATGAAGGAGAAAGCATGTGTTTTGATTGGTTTATTTGACCATTGCATCAGACAATGTCTCCCAGAAAAGTCCTGGAGAGCTGTTAACCCTCATTTTTAATTTAGTATTATCTAATTTTGTGTGACACTATTTAAAGATTATGAATTATCATTATGTTATTTAGACATTTTGAGTTATTTTATTTCAGTTTGTTGTGCTTATCCTGGATTTTTGTATAATTTTACTGGTCCTATATTTTCCTGCGCAAATGAGATTCCCTACCATCAGTATTTAACTTGTCACTGACCACAAAACCTGTAGCAGCCTTTTGATGTTTGTTGAATTCCCACACATCAAATAGTTACACTCATTATTTATAGATAGTTATTGGGTCGGGATTCTTCTTGGTTGAAGTTGAAACAAAGACTGTCAAGCATGAAATGCATTGAAAATGCATTTCATGCTGAACTATATGTTCAGTAAAAAAAAAAAAAAAACACACAATACATTGTGAAGTTGCTGTACTTCAATTGAAGGTGTCTGAGCACCAATTTGACTTCACCCAATCTCCAGGTATGGAGGTGGCAGGGGGTCAGCGACACCTATAATTCACACACCACACTTCTGACACTGTGTCGCTCCCTTTTCACCTGCAGGATGTAAATTGGGCTGGAATATAGCATAATGTGTGAAAAAGGCTAAGTTCCTGTGTGATTGTATTCAGATACCAACATAAAGGATTCCTCGCAACAAACTGATATTAATTATAACGTCTCCAGATTTCCAGAGCCTATTTACTCAGAACACTGAAGAGGAGGTTACACATCGAGTGTGGCTTTATAACAGCCCAGAAATCCTGTCTACATTTACTTTGAAGCAAGATTCTGATGTTCAATGGGAATTTACTGGTAAAAGAAAAAAACCTGGATCAATTTAGATGTGGAACAATCAACACAGCCCTCTGCACCGAAGTCCTCTGAGATGACTACTGTTGTGATTTAGGGCTATACAAGAATACATTGTAATTGTATTGTATTGCACATCTGGACCTTTGAACTGTAATTGATTAGATAACCTTTATGCATCCAGGACACACACATTGCATTCAAACATCAAGCTAATAATCACTTGTATATTTTTGACCCTAACCTAACCCTAACCCTAACCCATGCTGAACATATTTTTTTAATAAAATCACAGGTGAAAATAGCGATAAAAATACATACAGTATACGGATAGATGGTGTGTGAATTCACTGTGGGGTCACTACAGAGTTTGTGGTCAGACTTAGCCAAGCTGCTTTTAGAACAACAACCTCTGAATGTCTCTCGTAACACTGTCACACACAATGTTTGCTTTTTAGAGGTCTTAATGACCTTTGTTTCCAACATTGAACCAGAAATGATGAAGCCTCTGAATAAGTGCATACGGCGTGGATTGGATCTGGATCCAATGAGGGATATAAACTTACATTGGCCAGTTTTTGCAGCCAAATATGGACTTCCTATGAAGAGTCACTGAAATGTGCATTGCCAGGCCAAGCTGTGCACAATTTTAATTTCAAGTTGACTTTTGAGTTTTAGTAAAATCTCTCTATAAATACATATATACATATATATAATACAAAATATGTGGGGCAAAAGTGAAATGAATACTCTACACTTAGCATGTTCTTTTAAAGTTTAAAAATAATATTTAAAAAAAAAGATTGAAGAAAAAATATGTACTGGAAAAATGTTAAACAAATATTCTGCTTAATTTTGACAGAATTATTTTTATTAAAATACATACTTAAGCAAACGGCTTATATTGTCTTCTTTGACTATTTATGTGTTATGTGTATTGTTGCATCTAAGTGTGTTACTTTGCAGCAACAGATTTATCATTGACGTTTTTGAACTGGGCATACAAAAAAATTAAAGTAAAGTATACAGTGACCACCAAGTTTTAATTCACCATAAAAAAAACAAAATACAAAATGCATGTTTTGATGGAAGAATTATACTTTTATGTACTTTACAGAAGATAAGAATCTACAAAAAATATTATCTGTTAAACTCGTTTGGACGGTAGGGAGCGGTAAGCTTCTGGCCATAGTGAAACCAAAAGTGCTCTTTGGCTGTATAACCTGGTGAACCATGGATCTATGGTGATAACCCCTGCCAGAAGCCCTAAAGGCAAACCATGGATGTTTCATCGCTCTCTGGTCTCAAGTTGTGAGCAGCCAGTGCTTATGAAGTGAAGACGGTGGGTGAATGTGAAAAGGTGAGGCATAAGCGTGAGCCATGACGTCAAACTTGAACATTTAGACGTAGCCATAATTAGGTTTTATTTTTTCAAACGTTTGTAAGGCAGGTCGCGTAGATGGCCGTGTTGATTAGTAGGGGTATTTATCACGTATACTAGAGCACTTGAATTTGGCACAGAGCCGGTGCTCGTCCTTTTGTGGTTGTGGCCCTAAGCATGGGTCCTTAGGGTGCCCTTCCACCATGAAACAAACATGATTACTAAAGCAGAAGTACCACTCCTACAGACTGTTTTGTCATTGTATAATACACCAATACCATTGTTATGATAAAACTTCAAGTGAACATATAGACTAAATTCATATTTACAAGTATTTGCTCAAGACTTGTTTTTCATAGCACATGTTCGACAGCTGGTCACAGGCTGCAGCCTAGGGCCTCTGCCAGCAGAGGGCCTCGCAGAGCATCAGCCAGATTCTACAACTATGAATCTATATGGTTTGTGCAGCTATATGTGTAATTTAGGATTATATTTCTGTTTGAAACATTTTCAAGCTTAAGCCGGTCTTGTAGTGGGCCGTTAGAGGCACTGGTAACCACTACACAACTTAAACACAAACATCAGCTCAGTGAGGTTTATAACACCAAAGTCTTATTCTGAAATATCTCATGTCTTAGCTACAAACCAGTGATTGACAATCCCCATAATATGGCGTCAGGAAATATCAATTCAGCGATATATCGCAATATATAATTCAGCAATTTTCATATCATTTCAAAATGTAAACATTTCAATTTGTAACAAAAAAAGTGAAAATGTATGTTTATTTTGGGCTAACATGTTTAACGCTCCTGCTCACTAGGGAAACACTTGATCTTCTTTGGGACTGAACACCTCTAAAGCCCTGGGACCAGCACACTGCTCCCTCCTGGTGTCAGTGATGCAATGTTTCCACCTCATCCACAGGGGTCGCCATATGCAAGACTGACCGTCCCTGTGTATGTACAGTATTATAATAATGTTGTAACCTTGTGCTTCCAACAGACCGCTGTTATTGCTGAAGCTGAATATCATTGAGACACAGATGGGGGCAATGCACAAAAAGAGCTTTTTATGACGCCCAAACAACATTATTATTTTTGCTCCACCCTATGAATGCAATACGGCGGATGTAATACAAATGTAGCGCGAGAAGAAATAAATGCGTTCTCCTGATAAAGCCGGTGCTGTCTGCACTCATGCACATTGTAATGTTGGCCTTAAATGAGGAGTTGTATCTCTGGTCCCCCCTCGGCCTGCTTTCCCTCGGCTCACTCTACGTTTCTTTCCTGGAACAATCTCAGTACCCGAGCGCCATCCGGTATGTCCGTTTGCAGACGGCCTTGTGTTACCATTGGGTCAAAATGTCCTGCCACAGTGATTAAAAGTAGAATAAAAATACCCTATAAGGGTCTTTGACCCGGGCTGGTCAAGTTAGGAAATATCATCAAAGTTCAGTTTGAAAATTTTTTTCCCCGGGTATTTTTATTACTGTGGCGGGTCAATTTGACCCGAGGATAAGGGTTAAAAATATCTGCTAACGGTTAACCAATAACTCAGTAAAAGTATTGTAATGAAAGTATTGCTGCATATGACAGAAACTCAAAAAGCACTGTAAATTGAGGTTATTTTTACATACAAATCATCAGATCATAGATTATAGTTAAGGTTACCTTACAAATAAAGTTAGTACATGTTACACCTACTTTACATTGAACTTAAGGGGAAAGCTCAAATTGTATTTCAATTCAAATAAACATCACTATTGTCTGTGTACATCATTATGTAGAAGTCTTATTTTCAATTATTCTCAATTAAGAATAAGGACGCGAATTGGACATCGTTTTATGAGAACATAATGGTAAATCATAAAGTAGGAGTGTCTCATTTTCTTTGATGAAATCCTGGATAGGTAGCACAGTTGAACTATGTAAATAAATAAGTAATAAATAATGTATTTCTTTGATAGGGTCAAGTGTACACAATCCACGTGTGAAACACTACAACATTACTAGCAATGTCTGTCCATAGAAAAGCTTTTTACAGTCAAAAACACTTTTCACATTGTTACATTCACATTATACAAAGGCAGTTGTCCTCCAACTCATCAATGATCACACAACTGGTTTGTTTTAAAATGTTGTTCTCCTGAAGGGCACTTTCACATTTCCGTTGGAGCCTCGAGTGGTGGAGCCCACAGCCCTTAGGAACAGAGTGCACTCGGGGCAGGAGGGGCTTGACTGTGCAAACATTTATACTTTTTACAATTACAGAATTTAATTCAAATCTTAAAACTACGACAATGCATTCTGTGAAACACCTGAGAATGGTGTGTTCTTATTGGCTTTTTGTTCAATATTTGTATGGTTCTGCTGTTCTTACTGGTGGTGGTTGACGTGTGTCCTGGGACCAGCAGGTGACACCGAAACTGATTTGAGAGAGAATGATGGTGTGTGGGAAGATATTAGCTGCGTTGAAAGGTAGACAATCTCTAATTAATTTGAAGCTATACAAACTCCATTTCGTGGCTTTTAAAATCCTGACTATCAAATTGCAGGTTAGAGTCCAGAAATAGGCCTAAATATTTCAATTCTTTCACTTGCTCAATGCATTGCTTGCCAATTGTAAATCCTCAGCCCCGCTGAGAGGAAAAACAGACAGATTTTGTTTTACTGACATTTAAAGTGTGA